GAAGATAACTTCCATTGACTTGAGAAATGCTTTATCCATATATATATATATATATATATATATATATATATATATATATATTAAAAGACACTGTCAGGTGGGGAGTTTGCCTGGGGTGACACATCTATTAAAAGATAACACAAGTGTCCATCCTTAGCAAATGTTGTTGCAATTGTTCGTCTTTCATAAATTCAAGAATTTCACATCTGACTATGACATATAAATGCCCCCAACTGTCCCTGTTAATCGTTTCTCCAATATATATATATATATATATATATATATATATATATATATATATATATGAGGTAAGATATTCTTACACCGATGTAATAGTTAGAAGTCTTACACTCATTCTTGATCATTGATCTACTTGTATCCAATGGCTCACATTACTAAAAAATTTGAGCCTTTAGATATAAGTGGGATCAACGGACAAGATTGAGAGTGTAACCTACACTGGTGTAAAATGATCCTGACCTTATATATATATATATATATATATATATATATATATATATATATATATATATGGCAAAATAATATGTAATGTGACTGTATATAAACATTGGTGTAGTCACCTAAAAACTATGTCATTTTGGAAGGGATAAAAGAAGTTTGCGTTCAAAATTAATTGTAGAAAATGAAAATGTTATATCTATTTCTATCTTTGTATGGTTATGATTTCCTATATTTAATACTTTTACACTATAAAATGACGCAATTTTATATGACCACCAATTCTTAAGTGCAGCCACTATACATCCGCTAAATCATATATATATATATATATATATATATATATATATATAGGGGTTTACATTTCTGCAGCTGCTGTACGTGCAACAATCAAATACTTGCCATATTTATAATTAAAAACATCAAATGCGGGAAATCATATCCATACAAAGGATGAAAGCATTAAATGTGGAGAATCATAACCATACACCCCTCGTTGCTGTACGTAAAGCGGCCGCATAAATGATTTTACTATATATATATATATATATATATATATATATGAGTTTAGCGTTTCTTTAGTGACTGAAGATAACTTATCTCCAATGAATCCAAAATAACATTAATTTGGGTTGAGAAAAAGGTATTTTTATAATTCTTATTTATTTTAGGGCTATATTAATCTTTATTATTTTGATTTTTTAATTTTCAACTCCAAAACAATATCATTTTGGGTTCATTGGAAATAATTTTATCATTTTAATTATATGCGAGGATTTCAATATTTTTATATAGAACCTGCTCAAGAATTAGTTGGAAAACAATTAAAATTTTGCTTACTTTTTACTTGTATATTTGCGTGTAAATATTATTCATTAAAATAAATAAATTATGAAAACTTAAAATTTTATATAGATAATTTTAAGAAAGCATCAAATGATTATTTATTAAGATAATATTGATGCATTATATCTAATAAAAAAATAAAAATTTTAATATAATAATCTTGGATGATCAACAAATTAACCCTAACTTATAGGATTTCATGATGGTTTTTTATTACTATGGACAGAATGGGACATTGTGACCCATTTTCACATCCTTCCAAATCAGCATTTCTCATTTCCTATTTTTGAACACGAGCATGTACAAATAAAATAAAATAAATTGTTTACCGATTTTTTTTTTTTTTTTTTATAAAAATAAAGCAAGTATGAGATGAAACCTTGATTCATTTCTAACCTTACTAACAAGATCCAGTGCCTCGCCCCCGTAGTGGAGCATAACATAAAATGGCTAAATGCAACTTTTATAACTATACACTATGCAGCACCGATACTGACATGGGACACGGGACACGACACGATACGACACTTTGACACGTTAATTGTAAAAAATGTTAGATTTCGACATGTTAGGACACGTTTTCATATTAACTAATATTTTTAATTTATATAGTATATATTATATTTGATATTCAATAATTTAACAAAAAAGTGAAGCTAAACTTATAATAGCCATCAATTTTGCAAAGAAACATAAGATATCACAAATATTTATATTAAACTCAATAAAATGATAATCGTAATACAACAAATCTAATAGTTGAACTAAAAATGCAATGCAATGCTTTGAACCTTTTTTTGAGTCTTTACAACACGTGTCGGAGTGTCGGTGAGTGTCGGGAAGTGTTGGACACGACACGTCAGGATTTTTGAAGTATCAGTGCTTCATAAACTATACATACACGTGTACATGTACATAAAATGAATCACCTTAATTCAAATCATAACTAGGTATTATTATCTATGATATCTATCTATATAAAGAAGGCACATAAACAAGGAATCTTGGATAGGACAAACATAATTTCTCTTGACTCCTATGGCTGCTATAATTTAGTTTCAGCTGCCATAGTGCCAGTGTCACGAGTCACGACCTCTTGCTCAGTGGGAGACATCAGATAAACATGAGGTGTGTAAAGGGAAGCTCCATAATGTTATTTTTCAAGTCAGACCCGTACTTAGGGTGTCTTTGGTCCTTATATATAATGTATTACCTCATTGCACAGGCCACTTTGAAATTTATATATTAATATGATGATGAACCTTACCCTGGTTGGAATCAAGATTTGGACATCCATCTTCCAAATCTTCAAGTGAAACAGAAAGAGTACCTAAAGTACTTGTTTTTAGTGGCTTAATGCTAGAAATGGGTCCTAACCACACTACCCAAAACAAAACAAGGAATTCCCAGAATGGGACCGGCATGTTTTCCAGGCCCCAACTGTCATGTCTTGAATTGAAATGCCAATATTAGCTTACTGCCATTGACCAATTTCAATTGGTTACAATGTTATGCGGGTCAGTGGAGTCCGTGGTCCCAAGTTAGATTAATCATATTAAGTGGATTTGATACTTAATAAAAATTTTTAAGATATTGAATTTATGTGTTTTTTCGTTTATATAATTTTCACTTAACCCTTTATCAATTAATACGAGACTATCACTTTTGAATATTCTAATATATAAAATATAATTAAGGTAAAAAGAAAGAAAGAAAAATTCAAACTGTTCCACATTTTGGAGTCATAGATTTGGAAGAGATTAATATGATGGATCCCAACATGCTCTTAAAAGAAGAGTCAATGGAATTTGCTTTTTCTTTTTCACATTAAGCGGTGTAAAGTGAGAGGGTTAAAAGAGGCAGTGAGGGATACAATTGAGCACTGTACTTTATTCTTATGAAATGAAACTAACAACAAAGAAACCACCTAAAAAGAAATTCAACTGTCGGGGTTTATAAGCTTTTTTTTTTTTTTTTGAAGTTTACAAGGAATTGAACACAACACCTTACACTACACACTCCTAACACACACACCCACATCACTAGGCTAACCCTAGTGGTGCTATTCGGGGTTTATAAGCTGACTAGGTTTATTTCATCCTTATATCCTCATTATTCAATCATAAAGATTTTTATTTTTATTTTTTAAATGGTGATTAAGCAAAGATGAGTACATCGATTGGTGTTGTGAATTGTGATGGGTGCATCTCAAATTCTAAGTTCTTTAAAATTAGAGATTAATGTAGCTCGATCAACCCCATATTTCAAATTTCATTCCCTTTTCTTGTTTGCTTTAATACTTTTTTTTTTAACCATTCATAACGTAATATGTGGGGAAGGGCCTCGATCTAGTAGGTAAAGATGGATCCTTTCTTCATCTTCTGGTTGAGTAACCAACTTGTAAGTAACTTTTCTCTATGATTCGTTGATTTAAATGAATGATGCGCTAAACTTTTGGGCATATTAACGTCAACACGTGTTACTTTAATGTGGTTTGATTACTAACATGAACTGATAAGCTCATAATAATTTTCTCTTTCGACTGTTATCAATGGATTGGGATGATTGAGTGATGTAGAATAATCCTTCATTAATAAAATATTAAAAAATACCTTTCCTGAGAGATATCTATGATGACATGAACTGTTATCAAGGGTTCAAGTTGGCAGAAAGACATGAATATGTGATATAGAACAATTTTACATTATTGAGGCATTTAAAATTACTAATAACCGATTAATTCAATTTTGGATTTGAATTTCTCTGCTCAGAGTTTTAACTCTCATCTTTTCCAACTTATGCATAAGATTAAGTTATTAACCCCAATGGTAGCTCACTTGACGAGTGAGTATTGTTTTGGTCAAGAATTTAAACTTTGGCTAAAACAATTATTTGGGGATCAAAGAAAAATCACTTTCCTCTTAAAAGGGAATTAGCCTCACATTTTTTCACGTGACAGTGGTCTAATACATCTTCCGTTTCAATGAGAAACTATTCTTAGGGTCATATTCCGAAGACAAAGTGGCCGGAAGAGATTGAACGTGAATACCTCCAGATTATTACAAAAAAAAAGTTATTAAACAATTTATGTATCTTCATTAAATAACTTAATCTTTTTGTTAGAAATAATTCATAACATAAGTACTAAAGCTTTTATAATCATATGATATAAGGTTAAGTTTTTTTTGTCCATTTCTCTAAATAAAAATTAAACTTTAGTACGAGATAATAAAGTAAATATTGGCATTATCTATGCATCAAATCCCTCTTGCATGATATGGTTCATGACACCCCACCTCCTCATCTTTTCTAGAAACCAGAAATAAAAAAATAGAGGTACACTCAGCCTGCTTATTGTTGTCAATTTATTCTTACCCATGATTGGTATCTATTATATGGTTTGAGATTATATCCTATCTACTGCTTGAAGATTCCAAATCTGATTCAGCTGCCTTGGTGGATTCGGCTTGTGAATCAAAAAAAAAAAAGCTAAGGACAGTGGTGCAATGCAACTGGGCTCAAAAACCGACAGAATACCAAAAAATTAACTGGGTTATGAAACGGTCCTTGGTTATGCATTTCTCTATCCAAACACTGCTTTTGCTTTTGCTTTTTAAAAGCTAAAGATGACACCAAAGTGGTGTGTATGTATGTGCTGAATGTGGGAGAAAAAGGAGAGGTAAAGAGAAGAAGACATAGGATGCTGTTAACTCTGCACTCCAGAACTCTCCTCCTCACCCTCTCTGCATCTGCTAGTTTATGATATTCAAACTCCACTTTCACTCTCCTAGTATATTTGATTCCCTTAAAATCATACTCCTCTAAGCCAGTTATCTCACAAATGGGAACTCCAACTTTCAGCTCTGTACTCTTTAGCCTCCTCCTCCTCCTCCTTTTGTGTCTCACTTGGCCAACTTCTGTTTCTTCACTTCCTATGTCTCTGAGAAGCCAAGCTTCTATCTTGGTTTCTCTCAAACAAGGTTTTGAAGCTAACACTTCTTGTCTGAGCAACTGGGACATGTCTAACTACATGTCACTTTGCACTTGGGATGGCATTCAGTGTGACCATAAGAACAGTTCTGTGGTGTCACTAGATATATCCAACTTGAACGTTTCTGGGACACTTTCACCTGCTATCACAGGACTCAGGAGCCTAGTCAGTGTTTCACTTGCTGGGAATGGCCTTTCTGGGGAGTTCCCAGCAGATATTCACAAGCTAGCAGGGCTCAGATTCCTCAACATATCTAACAATATGTTCAGTGGAAATATGAGTTGGGAATTCTCCAAGTTGAATGAGCTTCAAGTGCTGGATGCTTATAACAACGTGTTCAATTGCTCCCTCCCTTTTGGTGTCACTGAGCTCCCTAAGCTCAAGTACTTGAATTTTGGTGGGAATTATTTCTATGGGGAAATCCATTCAAGCTATGGAAACATGTTGCAGCTCAACTATTTGTCTCTTGCAGGAAATGATTTGAGAGGTTTCATACCCACTGAGCTTGGGAATCTCATCAATCTGACAAAGCTTTTCTTGGGATATTACAATCAATTTGATGGTGGAATCCCACCTCATTTTGGTAAGCTTATCAATTTAGTTCATCTTGACCTTGCAAACTGTGGCTTGAAAGGTCCAATTCCAGCTGAGTTGGGAAACCTCTACAGACTAGACACTCTCTTCTTGCAAACTAATCAGCTCACTGGTTCAATCCCTCCCCAACTAGGCAATTTGAGTAGCTTGAAATCTCTTGATTTATCTAATAATGAGCTAACAGGAGACATACCAAATGAGTTCTCTAGGCTTCATGAACTTACCCTCTTGAACTTATTCATTAACAGGTTGCATGGTGAAATCCCACCTTTCCTTGCTGAGCTACCTAAGTTGGAAGTGTTGAAGCTTTGGCAGAACAACTTCACAGGAACCATTCCTTCAAAGCTTGGCCAGAATGGTAAATTGACTGAGCTTGACCTGTCAACAAATAAGCTCACTGGATTAGTCCCCAAATTTCTATGCCTTGGCAAGAGGCTGAAGATTTTGATATTGCTCAATAATTTTCTGTTTGGATCTTTGCCTGCTGATCTTGGTCAATGCTACACACTCCAAAGAGTTCGTCTGGGACAGAACTATTTGACAGGATCACTACCAAATGGATTTCTTTATTTGCCTGAGCTATCCCTTCTGGAACTACAGAACAATTATCTTAGTGGTTGGCTTCCACAAGGAACAACTACTACAACACCCTCTAAACTTGGACAGTTGAATCTATCAAACAACCGCTTATCTGGGTCTCTGCCAACCTCTATTGGAAACTTTCCCAACTTGCAAATTCTGCTACTTCGTGGAAATAGAATCTCAGGAGAAATTCCTCCTGATATAGGGAGGTTGAAAAATATTCTCAAGTTGGATATAAGTGTTAACAACATTTCAGGCAGCATTCCTCCTGAGATAGGTAACTGTTTATTGCTCACCTATTTAGATTTGAGCCAAAACCAATTATCAGGTTCAATCCCAGTTCAGGTTTCTCAAATTCACATACTAAACTATCTTAATGTCTCATGGAACCACCTGAACCAAAGTCTTCCCAAGGAACTTGGGGCCATGAAGGGCTTAACTTCAGCAGATTTCTCTCATAATGACTTCTCCGGTTCAATACCTGATATGGGACAATTCTCAGTCTTTAATTCTACATCCTTTGTGGGTAATCCTCAGCTCTGTGGATATGACTTGAAACCATGCAACCATTCTTCATCGGCAATATTGGGTTCTCAGGACAAAGGCAGTGCAAAACCTGGAGTTCCTGGGAAGTATAAGCTTCTTTTTCCATTGGCATTGTTAGGTTGTTCATTGGTGTTTGCAACCTTAGCCATTATCAAGAGCAGAAAGGAAAGGAGGCACTCCAATTCATGGAAGCTCACAGCGTTTCAGAAGTTAGAATATGGAAGTGAAGACATCTTAGGGTGCATAAAGGAAAGCAATGTCATAGGAAGGGGAGGAGCTGGGGTTGTATACCGAGGAACCATGCCAAATGGGGAGCAAGTAGCTGTGAAGAAGCTGTTGGGAATCAATAATGGTTGTTCTCATGATAATGGCCTCTCTGCAGAAATAAGGACACTAGGTAGAATCAGGCATAGGTACATTGTAAGGTTGCTAGCATTTTGTTCCAATAGAGAGACCAATTTACTTGTTTATGAGTACATGCCAAATGGAAGCTTGGGTGAAGTCTTGCATGGGAAAAGGGGGGAGTTTCTCAAGTGGGATACTAGGCTGAAAATAGCAACAGAAGCTGCAAAAGGGCTTTGTTATCTGCACCATGATTGTTCCCCTCTGATAATCCATAGAGACGTCAAGTCAAACAACATATTATTGAACTCTGAATTTGAGGCTCATGTTGCTGATTTTGGGCTTGCCAAGTTCTTGCAAGATACTGGGACATCAGAATGCATGTCTTCCATTGCTGGTTCTTATGGCTATATAGCTCCAGGTACTTAATTTTAATATTCAAATATATAAATCATTTAGTCTGAAAAATGCTAAGTACTATAAGTAGATTCATATTGGTTACACGCTAACTTCAAGTTTAGGAGACATTGTTACTTAGCTCCCCCAAAAATTTCAGAGGATATCATTGTTAAGAATACTGATTTGACCAGGTGAAATGAGTAAAAGTCCTAACATGCATCTATAGGGATGATTATTTAAGGTCCATTCAACAATCAAATATTCATAGTAAAAAAAGTCAATGGGAATGGGATGAAAATACTATTCTTTTTTCTTTTCTAGCACAATCATATTCTCTTTCTCCTTACCAGTGTAGCATATACTTGCTATTTTCTGGGACCACAGTGTCCTGCATGTACGTGAATTCCTAGATTGGGTAAAGGCTCCACTAACACAAAGGAAAATTCTTTAAATCTTTTGCTTTTCCTCACCCCTAACTGGGTTTGTGCTTTTGCATGCCTTGAAACCATAAACCCAGTTTCAAACCAGAACAAATCACAACCATCCTTTTTTGACCAACATCCATTATCATATCTATAACAGCCACCAAATGCACATTAACCAAAAGCATATGTTTCTTTAATCAAGGCTCCGGATTGGGATCTAAGATTTACTTTCTCAAAACCCCAGAAAAAGAAACACTGGCACAAGACACAACTAGCTAATCCTTTTACAAATTTAATTTGTTACTTGAAAATTAAGCTGAAGCTTTTCCCTTGTTTTTTTTCTATAAAACTAGTAGTAGGCCAGCCTTCCCCACTCTTCTTCATTATTATTATATATATATACACTTTTCCCCACCAAATATGAAGTTTATTTGCACTATCATAGCTAATCTAACTTTAGAGCATAAAATATGAAAGCTAGCAATTATGGGGTACTGATTTTGATTTGTTACATTGCTGCAGAATATGCATACACACTAAAAGTTGATGAGAAAAGTGATGTCTATAGCTTTGGAGTGGTACTGTTAGAACTACTAACAGGGCGAAGGCCAGTGGGTGATTTTGGGGAAGAAGGACTAGACATTGTTCAATGGATGAAGCTACAAACCAATTGGAGTACAGAAAAAGTGGTGAAGATCATTGATGAGAGGCTATGTAACATTCCATTAGATGAAGCAAAGCAAGTATTCTTTGTAGCCATGTTATGTGTTCAGGAACAAAGCGTGGAGCGACCAGCCATGAGGGAAGTGGTTGAAATGCTAGCACAAGCAAAGCAACCAAATGCAGTGAGTGATCTAGGAAAGGAAAGAAAGTAACAAAAATAAGAAAAGGAAACAACAAAGAAAAAGCTTAGTCTATACGCACGCCTTGCATTGCATGTATGTGTTCATGTTGTCGGTTGGTAAAAGGTGTCAATTTTCCTAATAGTTTGTCATTTGAGTTTTGAAGATATATAAATATTTATTTTCTTCTTTATTAATACTTAGCTAAGCAGTGGGACTGGGAGCAAGACTTGCATATGTTGTAGGCATACTGGAACATTCACTATAGTTGGACAATGATGCATTAGAAATGTTAATACTATCTTAGGAGTTTGCATAATACATTGGAATTGGGATTGAAGTTGAATTACTTGGCTTGAGAGTTTACTACTTGTTTGTAATTTTCCAGGAATATTTAAAGCAGAGTAGAAATTATTTTCTCTACTTAGCATAATTCAAGTGTTAATGGAAAGGAAAATCTAGCTAGTGCAATCAATTTATGTAATGCAATTATTATTATTTTTCTCCATAAAACAAATAATGAATACAGAACAGTAGAACATGGTATTCAGAAACTTTTAGGTTGTAAATACTAACAAGTACATAGATATTGCCACAGTGACCATAAAGCGACTATAATCTCGAAATTTAACTACGTGCTTCTTGCAAATTCATATGCACATATTGGTGACTGTAGTGAAACTTCAGAGAATACGGAAATGATGAATTTGAATGAATTGAAGAAGAGTTTGGGATGCTGTTGGTCGAAGTTGGAGCTTATCTACATTCATTTCTTGCGGATGATCAACAATACCCTCAAATTAAAATGGTGAATGAAAGTTTGTTGAAGGATGCCAATTTCCTGCATACTTAGTTAAAATATTCTAAGGCAAAGAATATATGATGTTAAAATATTCTAAGGCAAGAATATATAATGTTAAGGCAAAGAATATATAATCAAATTCTAAGGTATACTTACTTTTCATATTTTTCTTGTGTTGCTGATTGAAATTATATGAATTTAGATATAAAAGTAAAAGAAAACAAAGAATAAATCATATTATATATTAGGGTAATATTACTCTCATGTAACATGAGAGTACAAAGAGAATCCAAGTAGGATCCGTTATTTAAAAGCAAAAAAAGAAAAAGAAAAAAGAAGGAGCACGATTTTCGAAGTGAAAGAAAAAGAGATAACTACCTCGTGTAAAATGAGAGAAGTATTTTTCTATATATTAATGTGGGATAAAATATCATTGTATCAAAATCCCATTTTTTCTCACCTCCTCTTCAGATTTTGCTTCACTAATATTGAAGATAAGTAAGAAAAAAAAAGTAGTTAGAATAACTTATCACATTGGTATGAAATAAAAAAACACTAAATCGTATTTATGTTAAATAGAAGATTTATAATATAAAGAAACAAATCATAAAATAAAAGGAAATAAAATTAGTAACCATAAAGAGATTCTTTAAAATACTTTAATTATATTAAAATAAGATTGTAAGATAATATTTTCTAAATATTCTGTATATTATATCCTATATTTATATAGGTTTTGTTTTTCTTTAAATGAAAAAAATAACAAAAACAAAAGGCAACCTATAATGCTCATGCCCAAAGCATCAATAATGGAGTTAGGTTTTTTGGACACTGCGGCTACGCCAGTATCTTACTAGGAACACAACACTCCTTTCCCTTCAATTGACGTATCCTGGTTCTACACAGCACATCACTCAGGTATTACCCATCTTTTTCAAAGTCATTTTATTTTATCTTTTGGGGAAATATTTAATATGGTCTAGGACCACTGAATCTTTTGGTGCTCTCTCTCACATTATTAATTTTTTTTTTTTTTTTATCTCTGTTATTTTTTCTCTTTTCCAATTTTACCCTCTTATTTACATTAAGGGACCACCTAAAAAATGGTGGTCCTGGTTCAAAAAAAATAATCTCCTTTTTGGGGCTTTTTTCGATGATATTCCCATTTTGCTATCAGATTGAGTGATTGACAAATGAAATGAATTCGTCTAAGGAATTTGGGTAATGTATAAGCGATAACTTATTCTACTCATTTTTTCTTTGTTTATCTTTATTTATTACTTTAAAAGGTCATTAGATCAGATTTTTAATTAATATTTATTTTTCTCTTTTTTCTTTATATTCTGATCTAATGATATTGGAGGGTGATAAATAAAGATAAAAAAAAGTAGAATAATCTATCTCAATTAATATTAATTCGTGTGTTAATATAATTAATTTCTTTGTACTCAATTTTAAATTAAGAATAAAAAAAATGCTGATTTACCTACACCGCTCCATTTACTCATTCAGCAACGTGGACCGACGTCGTTGGTTCTACTCAACAGAAGGGCTCATGAGGTCGTCGAAATTAAAAAAAAAAAAAAAACAAAAGAGTTTCAATAAACGTTTCTCCAAATAAAAAACTTAAAACTTAAAATTTAAAAGGAAAAAAATATTTTTGTTATTTTTTTTTCATTTTCATATAAAAAGGGATGAGTCTTATTAATTTTTTATTTTTTAATTTCATGTGAATATGAGGGAAAAATACTTTTAAAATAAAAAATTATAAGAGATTGTAGATTAAAATAAATAATAAATATAAATTAATATTCTTTTTTATTTTAACCGTTGAATTCCGTCCATCCACGGTTATAATCTATTGAGTCAAACTTAATGGGTCAAATTTATTATTAATTAATTAATAATTTTAATCTAATAAATTATAACTGTTGATGGATGAAAATCAACGGTTAAGATCTAAAATGATATAAGTTTATATCCTTTAAAAGGATAGATGTTATTCTCATAATAAATATAATATTTTGGTAAATTTTATTTATATATTTTTTCTCCGCGTGTCTCCCTCTAAAGAAAAAAAAGGGAAAAGACTTCGTTTCATCTGCACATCGACGTCGATTAATCCAAATCGCCTCGTCGTATTCCTCTCTAAATCGGACGTTACCCTCCGCCGCCGCCTCCGCCGCAACCGGCGATTTTCGGCGCCACCTCTTCATCATTTCGAATCTCACAACCGATTTTTGTGTTCTCCACTTTTCTTTTGATATTCGCCGTCGGCGATTCTGTTTCCGGTGAGTCCTCGTCAGAGGAGGAGGTGCGCACGATTATTAAACCGTGCTTCGTCGGTCGTCGCGGTTCCTTTCATTCGAACAAAATTGGCGGAACTACGTTTCGCTTCATGTAGGTGGAAAGGTGAGAGCCGCTAGCTCATCCATCTTCATCGCATGGATTCGCTCATTGCGTAGTGATTCGGTTTCGGATTTAGGTTTGTGATAGCGGATTTAGGTCGGTCTTTTTGTTTGGGAGGTCGCGTTCTCCAAGCCTTAGAGGTTTTAGTGATGAGCTTCTTACAGTTTGCTTGTTGATCCGTTGCTTTCTCCGTTCGATTGATTTGCCGTTGCTTTTGGGAAATTAACTTGTTTTTGATTCGGGGTTGATGAATTTGTGCATTGCACGTTGGTTAAATTGAATTTGGCAAAAATATGGGTTTTAATGGAATTCAGTTTTGACCGTTGGACTAGACACTCATTTGAAGCAGTGCCTACATTCGTTGATTAATGTAGTCCGTTGGGAACTTGGTTTAATGCAGATAGGACTGTTTTTAATCCATAATTTGAAACTTAAAATCGATTTTGCCTTACCAGGTTCAAGTCCTACTTGAATTCAACCTGAAACCTGGTTTTTGATTTCATTTCCACTTGCCAATTACATGGTTGCCAGATAATGCGTGGAAGTAAATAGCTTGGGAATTTTAACTCACTCATCAACCAGTGATTTGTAAAGGAATTTGAACTCGATAATGTCACTGATTGTTGAACAGTAATTTGACTGTTAACAACTGAGCATGCTTGGTGGTTTTGTAAATATATATTTATAAAAATATTGTGTAGGATGTAAATTGGTTCTATGCTTTTTCTCTAAGTCTTTTTTAACTTCTTGGAGGGTTGTAGTCAGGGATTTCTAATTTTGTTATTTAGTATAACTTGCGTTGTTGTGTAGTATATCAATGTGTTATTGATTGCACGAGCTGAGCATATTTCAAGATCCTACTGACCATTTAGTGCTCTTCCGTTGTTCAGGTTTTGTGGAGACAGAAGATGATAAAAGTAGCAAGTGACATTTAATGGTACCTTTTTTTTTAATTATTATTATGCTTAATCACTCTTACAGCGAGGAGATTGAAGTAAAGAAATTGTAAGTTAGTCATACATTAAAGGATGGCTTTCTTTAGGAACTTTTTAATTGATACAGTCTCACATGGTGTCATGGAAGATAAAGGTCAAGGACAGAATGCTAATAGAGTCCATAGATCAGTAGGTAATGAATGTACTGATGCAACTTCCAGTGAGAAAGAATTTGATATGAACATGGAGGCACAGAATGAGAGTGATGGTGAACCAGATGGTCCCAGTAGACTTCGAAATGAGGCAATAGCTGATGATGGAGATGTTATGAGAGAACCAAACTTACAGACTTCTGGTAGTAAAACAGCTACGGTCGGAAGGTGGGGTTCAACATTTTGGAAGGATTGCGGGCCTATGTGCGCTCAAAATGGTTCTGAATCTGGGCAGGAATCAAAAAGTGGATCAGATTATAGAAATGCAGATGGGTCTGAAGATAATTCATTGGATGGAAGAGGGAGAAGATTGAACTCAGAAGATGATGATGGACCAAAGGAGGCAGGAGAAGATCCAGGAGGCCATTCTGATGTTCCTGCTGAAGAGATGTTGTCTGATGAATATTATGAGCAGGATGGGGAAGAGCAGAGTGACTCGTTGCATTACAGAGGGGTTCATAAGCCCACTGAATCAAATTCATGGCCTCAACGGATGTCTACTACTGTAAATAGAACTGTGCATAGGAAATCTAGGATTTCAGATGATGCTGAAGATAATGACGGTGATGATGATAATGATGATGGTGATGCTGACTATGAAGAAGAGGATGAAGCAGATGGTATGTTAAACATTGTATTTAATTTTTTTTGTAAGCATAAAGTACTGCTCTTAAAATTGGCCATGGCCTAGCCCTTGTTACCTGGTTGTGATTAGTGATGAACTCTTGTGATGCATTTTTTTAATTTTTTGTTTTTGTTAAAAATTTACAGAAGATGATCCTGATGATGCAGACTTTGAGCCTGTCACAAGTGGTCGTGCTGCTAACGAGGTTGTTTGTTTATAGTTATTGTAGTTACCGAGTTCTATATCATTTGCAACAATGGTTTTTTATCTAGTAATTGCTTGCAATATCTTAATTCTTTTTGGCTGGGCAAAGGGGTTGTATGTTCATTAGAGGTCAAATGTTGCTTTACTGTTATTTTTGAAGTTAGTATGCATTGGTTTTGTGGAGGATATTTCTGACTATTGAATGGTTTAACTGTTGTTCTAGGATAAAGATTGGGAAGGTGAAGGCTTGGATGTAGATGATGATAGTGATGAAAATTTAGATTTCTCAGATGATGATGAATCTTTCTATGCTAAAAAACCAAAGGGAAGGCAACGAGGTAAGGTTGGACAAAGCATAAAATCTACCAGAGATCGCAAAGCATATGCTGCATCTGGCCGGCAAAGAAGAGTTAAATCATCTTTTGAAGACAATGAGTCAACAGCAGAGGATTCTGACAGTGATAGTGACGAGGATTTCAAGAGACCAAAAAAGAGAGGTGTTCATGTCCGTAAGAATAATGGTCGCTCTTCTGCAGCCACAAGTTTTTCGATGCGCAACAGTGAGGTTCGCACTTCTAGTAGGACAGTTAGGAAGGCATCATATGTTGAAAGTGAAGAAAGTGAAGAAGCTGATGAAGGCAAGAAGAAAAAGTCCCAAAGGGTATAACCTTCATTTTAAACATTTAAGCATGATTTCTACTTACTATCTATTTGGGTATCTATATTTTGGTGTAAATGCTTTTGAGTTTGTGTATCAACTAAAACTTCGTCAATGTTAATTGTTAATTCTCACATAGATAACATGATATCCAAAGGCTGATTTAGATTACATAGCAAATGACTACTGATTAGACTTGCCTTTTTTTTTTCACATCTTTTTGAAGTATATTATGTGGAACTTATGTGTTTATTTGAAAGGGATACATTTAACATATATATGTTATTTGATAGAAAAATGATTTATCAGAAAGTAGAGAGGGAAAACTCAGCTCCATTGAAACAACCATTAGCAGATCACAATAAAGGGGCCAAAAACACAATCCTATATGAAATTGAGATGTAGAGAGATGCCCAAAAATTGCATTTGTTTGTCTCCAGCCAGATGTGTCAATGGACTGCATAAACTGCACATTGGCCAAATTTTTTTGCCTACTTTTTGCAAATCACCTTTAAACCTAACCAGCAAAAACTGTTCCAAATTATAAGGGGACACACCAAGCACTACAAACAAGTTTGTTCCAATAATTTTTATATTTATAGCTAGCATGTTCTGACCACCTCCTTGGCCCTCTTGAGATGTGTGTTTGCTCTTTTTTGGGATGGTTGATGGGGGATTATACAACTTATGAGTTCAGGTTAATAAATTTTGTAGGACTATAAGGTTGGATTGAATGCGATTGAAATCTGCAAAGAATTATTTTCTGTTCCTCAGTTTCAGTTTCAATGTGATGGAAAGAATTAGAAAATGGATTACATTGTGATGAAGTGATGGTTATTGAGTTATCTACTATTATGTCTTCATTTTATTTTCATTATTGCGAGATGAAGGGATGTTATTAGCATGAAAATATTGTGCAACAAATTTAGATAGGATTATTAAATTTATAAGGCAATTTACTAAAGAGTATTGGAACAAATCCACTAAAGGCTTGTTTTTAATTGATATGTAGAAGATTGAGAATTCTTAAGGATGTAGGTAAGGAAGTGGTAAGTTTTACCCTGTGTATTGCCTTTGAGTGAGAGATCAGGGAATGAATGAGTATGTCTTTCCTGGCTTGAAGAAAGACTTATGAATTTGAACACTTTATTTAAGAGATTGGTTTATGGCCACTTCCTTGGTGAAGAACCATTAGTGTTTGTTTGCAATTTGTTAAAGATTTTTTTATTGTTTATTTTTGGTATTGTGGTGGAGAGATCTAAATCATGAGTTTTGTTGATTACTTCACGTAGCTTATTCTAAAGAGGGTCATTTCAGTAGCATTGGCTTCAATGTTTGAGATTTCCCCAGTCTATCTCTCTGGAAGGATTATAGAATTGTTGGTGTGTGGACTATGGAGTGGATACATGTCATATTTTTGTAGGTGCCTTCTTTAAATCTAGTTTATATATCTGTCAAAGGATCGGCATACATACTCTGATCTAGCAGTGATGATTTGTGCAGAAGAATTTTTGGTTCCTGAGCAAAGTTATTATTTTATATGGGAATAGCTTGCTGTTAGGAGTGTAGGATGTTACTTTGTTAAGTTGCAATGATACCACCTATTTACTCAATGTATACTTTTGATTTATCTCTACTGATGTGATTCTTTTAAATATTCTTCAGGAAGAAATTGATGAGGACGATGGGGACTACATTGAAAAGGTGCTTTGGCATCAGCCGAAGGGCACGGCTGAAGATGCTCAAAGGAATAATAGATCAACAGAACCTGTTTTAATGAGTCACTTGTTTGATTCTGAATTTGATTGGAATGAAATGGAATTTTTAATAAAATGGAAAGGGCAATCACATTTGCACTGTCAGTGGAAGTCTTTCACCGAGCTGCAAAATGTATGATAATTCATTTTTTTTGTTTCTTGTGCATTAATCAGAGTTTTGCTTTTACTATTCTCTCTCTCTCTCTCTCGTTATTATGATAACTCTGCTTCTTATTGTTTTGGTTATTTTAATCTCTCATATTTTTTGAGGTTTTTTTTCATTTCTGTCTGGCCAAAGTGTAATTCATTTTGTCTATGTGAGATTGCAGCTCAGTGGTTTTAAGAAGGTTTTGAATTATACAAAGAAGATAATGGACTTTGTCAGGTACAGGAGGACAATATCAAGAGAGGAGGTAAATATTTGAATTGCCCTATTTGAAGACTTTGTTTTGGATGTTCTGTTTCTTTTAATAGGTCTAAGACTATAAATACTGCAGAAAATTTTGCAGAAATTTATTTGGAACAAATAGTTGACCACTTCACTCCACTAATTGTCGAAAGTCTGCTTAACAAACTGCCTAACCTGGCTTTTGTTTTTATAATGCTATTATTTGCATGTTACCCGTCCTGGTGTAATCACTTTTGGTGAAAGATCTAATTTTTGTGCTATACATTGTGGTTCATTGGTCACTCATCCTCACTTTCTGAGGTGTTTCTTACATCTTCATGTTATTCTCGTTTTGATTTTTCACTTTATTTTTTCACTTATAACCTATTAATTTTTGTAGCTGCTTCATGAAAGAAAAAGATTGTATATTAATGCGTCTTGAGTTGAAACATATATATATATATATATATATATATATTGAATATTTCCCAACTGTTCCGGTCCGTTTACAGTTATTGCTTCTGTGAACGTAGTTGCTAAATAATCCCAACATGTTACATAAGGCATATATTGTATAATTGTTCGGTTTTCCGTAATTTTTTCCATCCCTCTCTGTAAATAACCCAATATTGGTTCACTCTTGTACTATGATAATTTACTTTTAAATAAAAGATATATTCACTTAATATCTTAATATTATTTATTAGTGTTTACTTTTTAATCATTTCTTGTTGCTGTATGCCAGATTGAGGTCAATGATGTGAGTAAGGAGATGGATTTAGATATTATCAAGCAAAACAGTCAGGTTTGCTTCCCTGCTTTTCATTACTTTCGGTGTTTCCTTTTTCTTTTTATCTCATACATATTCCTTATTGGATTGTTATTTGCATTTTCAGGTGGAAAGAATAATTTCACATAGAATCAGCAAAGATAATTCTGGCAATGTTATTCCAGAATACTTGGTCAAGTGGCAAGGACTATCTTATGCTGAAGCGACTTGGTACACAGTACACTACACTAAAGATTTAGTTATGATTTATTTTTTCTTCATTTTCTGTGAATCCAGTGTTTTCATATTAGAAAGGAGAATGGGTTGATCGCTATTCATTGTTTGTTCTTTGTGTTTTATTTTAGACTTTTAGGTCCTTTCTAAGTATTATGTTACCTTTTGCAGTTATTCGATGTCTATGCAGTTTCATTTGTACTATGTAAATTTCCACCCTTAAGTTTGTTTATATTGTACTAGGGAAAAGGACGTCGATATCGCATTTGCTCAACATGCTATTGATGAGTATAAGGTAGCTCTCTATTTCACTTTATTTTTTTGTTCTCATTAGAGTGTTGGTTTTGGAAAGTTTAGGGTGTGCATGACAACCATTATGTTCTTTGGATGATCTGTTTTTGGAGAGAAATAATTTTTTATTTTTTTTATTTTTGTGCTTAAGAAGCATTTTTGGGGAAAAAATGTGTTTGATAAAACAATTTATTTCTATTTCCATTGAGAATGAATACGTATTTAATAAATAATGCGTATTTTATCCTGATAACAGATTCTAGGATGTATGCATTTAATGAATAGTGTGCTAGGGAACAGAAAAGCAAAAAAAAAATCTTTTTCTTATTTCTCTCAATTTGTATTGTTGGGCTTCGGGTTCATTATATGGAATGGAAATAAAGAATAAAAATGGGAACGTGTTCATGCACGCTTATTATTTGACTAGATTGGGTGGCAGATTAGGAAAAATGGCGAACCCCCCCGGTTGTTGTTTTTGTTGTATTTCTGTTTATTAGTGGTGTGCAATACACAGAAGATTTATATATGATAATTGGGATATTTTTCAATAGTAAACTTTTTGTTATGCCATATATGAACAGGCTCGTGAAGATGCAATGTCCGTTCAAGGAAAAATGGTAGATTCCCAGCGTAAGAAGAGCAAAGGTTGGTATCTTTTAAATACTGTTTAAGCTTGAGTATGGCAATAATCTTTTTTCAATAAAATTTAGTAGAACATTTCCACATATCCTTTTGTTTATACTTGACATGGTTATTGGTGCAATGCTGTTTATGCTCTTATCATTCACCTAGAATGTATCTTCTAAGTTCTTGGGTTAATTTACAAAACAAATGACCTACAGTATTTGGTACAATTTTACCAATTGTGCTGTATCACTGTGTAGCTCTCTTTCATGTCTGCCTGGATTCGAAGGCTAGACGTGAAAATAATGTGTAGTACAGAAGAAATCTGCTACTGTTTTGTGCATATCATGAGAGATTTCTTTGTCTTGATTTACTTGATTCTATTTCTAAATAGGGTCATTGTTTAAATGGCACCTCTTCACTTTTAAATATAGGAGCAGGATGGGATATGATTGGTCTATGGGTTTTTTTTTTTTTGTTAAATGCTATATTCTTGTATGAAAGCCATTGGATTGTGGCTGTGCCTTTTGCCTGGTTTTGTCATTTTGGTTTCTCTTAGGAAAATATATCTTCCATTGCTTTTTTCTGTCCCTTTTATTATTTTCTAATAAAATTCTTTTATACTCTTCTTGTACTTAGTAGGTTATTAAAATGTTAATTTTTAATATGCAAAACCGCAAATTTCAAGTGATTGCATAAGATAAACTGTGTAGCTGATAAACCCTTATAGATATAGGTCTAAATCTTTTTATTAGTGATTTATGTGCCACCAATTTATTTTACACGTTTTGAAGATGTGGTTATAACAGGGTATTGTATTTCCGTAGAGAATGTAATTTTTTTTTCTATTTTGGGAAAAACTGACTTGTCTTACTTTTTAATCATAAATCAGATTATTAGCAAATAAATTTTTTTTTTATCTGTCCATTCTGAAATTACGTTTTAATAGAATTGATTGAAAAGCTTATGATTATTTTGGCTCAAATATGAGGGGTGAACATTTTGCAATTATATCCTTTTGTTTCTGATTCCTGTCTTCTAAAGCCTATTTCCTTTAGTTTTTTTTTTTTTTTTTTTTTAATACAGTTTTAAATTCGTTCAAATTTCATCATTTCATGTACAAAATAATGTAATATTATATGTGTAAATTATAAGAGGGCAAATCAGAGCAGTGGTAAAATTGTTCTTTCATGACTGAAAGGTTATGGGTTCGAATCCAGAAAACAGCCTCTTTGCAATTATGCAAGGGTAAGGCTGCGTACAAGGATTACCTCCACCCCACACTCGCTAGTCAGATAATGGAGAGTGGTTTTATTTTTTATTTTTTATTATTATCTGTGTAAATTCTGATTTTAATCTGTGGTTGTGATGTTTAGCAAGTTTGCGGAAGCTTGAGGAACAACCTGAATGGTTGAAGGGTGGAAAGCTTCGCGATTATCAACTTGAGGGTCTGAATTTTCTTGTTAACAGGTATGCGTGTATGTACGCATGTATGTTTTAAGGTATCCTTTTTTTTTAGGGTGTTCTAAATCTTAGTCTATTGCTTTTTGCAGTTGGAGAAATGATACAAATGTCATTTTAGCTGATGAAATGGGTCTTGGCAAAACTGTTCAGTCAGTATCAATGCTTGGTTTTCTACAGGTGTAGTATCAATTTTCTGTTTGGTTACAAATGCCTTTGCAATGTAATAAATACATGTATTTTTGTTCCTCGTACAGAATGCGCAGCAAATCCATGGTCCTTTTCTTGTGGTTGTACCATTGTCTACTTTATCAAACTGGGCCAAAGAATTCAGGAAGTGGCTTCCTGATATGAATATTATTGTATATGTTGGTACTCGTGCAAGTCGAGAGGTGAGATATATCTCTTTATGATTTTTTGGTTCATTTGTGAATGAAGTTATAAAAATCTGTCAGATAGGTAATATATTTCAGCAACAGGCATTTTAATTTTAATTCAGAAATGTATTCTGAATGAGATATGTAAAGAATCATTTCAACTTAAAAGCTTAAGCTGGTGGGTGAGACTACATTAATAGTTTTATATATCTCTAACACACCCCCTCATACGAGAGCCCACTGGGCTTGAAGGGTGGACAATGCATAGGCCCATCTACCTATGTTAAGAAACTCCATAAGACTTGATTAATTATCAATTAAATGGGGGGCGGTGAGGATCAAACCGTGATACCGAGACTCTGATACTATATAAAGAACCATTTCAATCCAAAAGTTTAAGCTGGTGGGTGAAGCTACATTAATGGTTTTATATATCTCTAACAAGATAACATCTAAAGGGGTGCAGGATGTAGTCCCTTACTACATCAATTCTTAAAATGTTAACTCGTTTCTATGTTCAACATCTCTTTAGCCTTTTTGTGCTGATGATAGCATTTTTCTTGACTATGGTTTAAGACTATGGTCATACAATAAAAAGTAGGTGAACAAACAAATATGGAAATTATTGTTAGAATTTTATTCTAACAATTATGCTCAGCTCAGTAAGTGGATGTGTTTCTGATTTTTGTCTTTCAATTGCAATTATCTATTTTATTCTACTTTTTAATAGTTAAAATCTTAATAAGCTTTGAATCAAACTGTTGTTTGTGATGATCTGCGTGCAGATAGTGTAATTTGTAATCAATGTCAGCATGCAAGCTTTTTTTTGTCTTCAATTCTTTTATATGATTTTTGGTGTTTGTTTTTTGTTTTTTTTTTCTTTGCATCTTTGTGGCAGGTTTGTCAACAATATGAATTTTATAATGATAAAAAGGCTGGAAAACCAATAAAATTCAATGCGCTGTTGACTACATATGAAGTGGTTTTGAAGGATAAGGCTTTTCTATCCAAGATCAAATGGAATTATCTGATGGTAGATGAGGCTCATAGACTAAAAAATAGTGAGGCACAGTTGTACACAACTCTTTCAGTATGTGACTTTCCTCTTAATTTAATGTTGAGCTATTAATTATGATAGAGGTTAATCTTTTTCTAATAATGGTTTATTTTTGCGCTGATCTATTAGGAATTTAGCACCAAGAACAAGTTGCTTATTACTGGTACTCCTCTGCAAAACAGTGTTGAAGAGCTATGGTATTATTGTCATTTTCCTTTTACATTAGACTTGTCAGAAGGAAACTTGCATCATTTGTGGATTTGTTAGATTTTTTAATGTTCTTAATTCTTGTATGGACAAGTGTCAATGAATGTTGATTACATTTAATTTACGTGATTCTCCTTCTCTATTGGTGAAGGTGCAACCGAACATGCTTATAATTAACTGCTTGGTGCATGGCTAAATAACTTACATGATATTTGTATATGATTTACATTAGCCACTTGAAAGCTTACATGGTTAACTATTCTGCATACAATATAGGAGTAGTTAACATCGACATTCCTGAAGTCATACCCATCCAAGGTGCATCTACATGCTTCTTCATATCTTTGTATTCATTAGTGTAAAATAGTATGCATTTTTGTGCATGCTCACAAATACGGGGTGATTTTTATTTTTATTTTTTAACAGGAGACACCTTTGATTGGTAGTTTATTAGTATATGTCCAATTTATTGATTTCTAATCAGGTTATGTTATCTGTTATTTTGTTTGGATAACAATCCCCCGCACTCCCTTTCTTCCTGTTTCGTAGGGCTTTGCTCCACTTTCTTGATCCTAACAAGTTCAATAGCAAGGATGATTTTGTTCAAAACTATAAGAATCTGAGTTCTTTCAATGAGAATGAGGTATAAGTTTTCATCAATACCCTTTACTTATTTCCCAGTTACTTGATTTTCCTTGGTCTTAACTTTTGTCTTTCAGTGTAATTTGATGTGCATATATTATTTTATGTTAGCTTGCGAATCTTCATATGGAATTGAGGCCTCACATACTTCGAAGAGTTATCAAAGATGTGGAGAAATCATTACCCCCCAAAATTGAGCGTATCCTTAGGATTGAAATGTCTCCTCTTCAGAAACAGTAGGAGCAATTTTAGTTCTGGGGCTTTTTTTTGTTGAAAAAAGCTGTTCCTGTATGTTCACTTTCTAAATCCGTGCTGCTGCTTTCTTTCATGTAGGTATTATAAGTGGATTTTGGAACGCAACTTTCATAATTTGAACAAAGGAGTTCGTGGGAATCAGGTTACATGTCCATCTTGTGTTTCTAACAGTCATTTGTATGTATATTTCTGAATCCTTTCCTTTTAATATATCTTCACTAAATTCAAATGTACTCTTTTTCTGCTAAATTTCAGGTTTCTCTTCTAAATATTGTGGTGGAGTTGAAGAAGTGTTGCAACCATCCCTTCCTGTTTGAAAGTGCTGACCATGGCTATGGTGGGGACTCAGGAAGTAGTGACAACAGTAAACTAGAGAGAATTGTCTTTAGCAGTGGCAAGCTTGTTATACTTGATAAGCTACTTGTTAAATTGCATGAAACCAAGCATCGTGTTTTGATCTTCTCGCAGGTTAGTCGTTAAAAGTTGAAACTGGTGTACTGGATGTTACGTCATACTTTTTCTGCATAATTTAGTTTATTGTTTTGAGGTTGCACATTTTTCTATTCAGGGTTACCTTTGGCACATTTTTCTGCATAATTTAGTTTATTATGTACAATATAATTTGCCAGGGAAGTAAATGCTGGTTGAAAATGGTACACTTCACTAGCTAATTTTCCCCTACCTAAGAAGTAGAGGACAAAAATTTATTTAATGGAGTAGGAGAAATCTACTGCTCATAAAAATACTGATCGATCTATTAGAAAGATGGCAAGAAGTTCTGCAGTGTGAGCAAAAATGATTGCTGGTCTCTCAAGTCTGAAATCTCTCGTTACTGATTTTAGGACTTGTTTCTTGTACAAGGTTCATGAAGAGGTGGTTGTAAAGATCATAAATAGCTTTTAGCTATTTCCTCTAAACATCCTAGTCTGCTTTAATTTGCAAACATGTATTATGCTTTAAGAATTATTTATGATGATACTGAGTTATCAGAGGTGTAATGCAGATGGTTAGGATGTTGGATATACTAGCAGAGTATATGTCACTTCGAGGCTTTCAATTTCAGAGGCTTGATGGCAGTACAAAAGCTGAGCTGCGACAGCAGGCAATGGATCATTTCAATGCACCTGGTAGTGATGATTTTTGCTTCCTCCTTTCAACACGAGCTGGAGGTCTGGGTATCAACCTTGCCACGGCAGACACTGTCATAATATTTGATTCAGATTGGAATCCTCAAAATGACCTGCAGGTATGCATTTGATTTCATTTCATTATTAATCAGCAAAATATTTAGTTACTTACTTTTACTTCTATGTATCTTTTAGGCAATGAGTAGAGCTCATAGAATTGGGCAACAAGAAGTTGTTAACATATATAGATTTGTGACAAGCAAAAGTGTTGAGGAAGATATTCTGGAACGTGCTAAGAAGAAGATGGTATGTTCAGAACCACTGGCTATCCAATGGCTGTTTTTGTTTCTTCTCTCTTACTCCGGTATCCTATTTTTTTTATATATATGTATATATATTTGCTTCGCGTTTACATTCAAATGCTTATTGACATGCCCTGCGGTCAATAATTTTCACGTTCTATAGGTTCTGGATCACTTGGTGATTCAAAAACTAAATGCAGAGGGTAGACTGGAGAGGAAAGAAGCCAAAAAAGGAGGAAGCTATTTTGACAAAGTAAGGACATTTGTGAAAACTGTATACTCATTTGCTTGCTTCCATTGTACTATATGATGTCTTTGTAGATAATAAAATAACAAAACTACTATGGTGATATTGTCTCCATATGTATTTTATAAATTGCATTGAATCATTTTAATTTACACAATGTTGGTGTTTTCTTTTTTAATTTATTGCAAAATTACTGTATCAAAACATTTGCTTCTAAAATGACAGAATGAGCTGTCCGCAATCTTACGATTTGGAGCAGAAGAACTTTTTAAGGAAGAAAGAAATGATGAAGAAAGCAAGAAACGACTCTTAAGTATGGATATTGATGAGATTCTTGAAAGAGCAGAGAAGGTTGAAGAGAAGGAAGCTGAGGGAGAACAAGGTCATGAATTATTAGGTGCATTTAAGGCAAGATACGCAGACAGTACCATGAAATCTGTTGTTTATGTTTTTCTAATTTTGAATTTTTTTAATCATTTTTTATTTTATTTCTCAGATTGGGGAAAGGATAGATATGGATATGGTAGGGAATTGCTTAGTTGTTTCTCTTTTTAATTTTTAAACCGCAGGTTGCCAATTTCTGCAATGATGAAGATGATGGAAGTTTCTGGAGTCGTTGGATAAAGCCTGATGCTGTATTCCAAGCAGAGGTTTGATCCTGTTCTTTTTTGTAGATATACTTGAAAGAAAGAGTGAATATTATTGCTATTGTGTAGAATACAAACAAAAGGTTACAATATATAGAAGCCATTGGCTTAAAGGAATAAAACCAAATACTAAAAAAGGAAAGAAATCCTTAGAATAAAAAGGAAAGAAATTATTACAATTTATAACTAGAGATAATTCTAATATTTACAGCAGATATGTTCTTTAAAAAAGTCTCTAATGTTGTTTTCTTCAATTTTGTTTTTTGAGTTTTTACGAATTATATGGGCATGTAATGTTTGTTTTAGTCAATGCTTAAAATGTTTTTCCTTTACTTACCTTCTTTTCTTTTTTTGTTTTTTTAGGAAGCTCTTGCTCCACGTTCTGCCAGGAATATCAAAAGCTATGCAGAGGATAATCAATCTGAAAAATGTACTAAGAGAAAAAAGAAGGAACCTGAACCACCTGAACGAGTTCAGAAACGTCGGAAAGCAGATTACTCAGCTCCTGCAGTACCAATGATTGAGGGAGCATCTGTCCAAGTCAGAAATTGGTCATATGGGAATTTATCTAAAAGAGATGCACTCCGGTTTTCTCGTTCAGTAAGATTTTTATTACTTTTGGCAAGTTTCAGTGTTACTTCCTATAGACAAAACCTATTCCTTTTGGCATGCTCTAATATTCGAGACCTTATAAGCATTTTATTGATTAGAATGTTGTTGATACTCAGTTGCATGCTATTTTCTCCCTGCCATGCTTGAAAAAGTAGCTAACTAGGTGCTGTAGGATCAGCATTTAAACTTCGCAAGAAGCTTGTGTTGTTAAGATTAAATCCCGAGGTGGGACCATATGGTTGTAGGTGATCAGAAGAGAACTGAATTATTGAATCTTCATATTCTACTCATCCTGTTGGATATGAGGTTCAACCTTTGGCTTATGCTTGGATCAGTGAAGCTTCTGAGCTAAAATGAGCTTGAGGTGGCACTGAATTTGAAACCTATATCAGTTTGTTTGGCTACTAATATACAGTTTAACATAAACGTAAGTTACATTTTGCATTTCCATGTCTGTTGGCCTGAAGCAATAAATATTTGGTGTTCCTTTTTTTAAAGAATTGTATAACAGACTCATGTGGACATGTACACGTGTAATGATAGTCTCAGGCTAAGCTTGACTGTGAATTAAGCAAGCTCAAATGGAGTTCATGGTGCCTGGAATTGTCTGCCTTGTTTGTGGGAGTGTGCTATGTTTATTACAGAGCTGTTTGTATTTTATGGTCACATGGTCCTGTTCTTTAATTTCTATTGTAGTAGAGTGATCTTGACCTTTAAGGGTGGGGGTGGAGGTGGATGGTTAGATATATCTTGTCAGCATCTAAGATCTCTCCCTTGCTCCTTTTTTTGGATAGAGTTGATTGTTAGTTCCCCCTGTGGGTTGTAGCCAAAGGTTGTGTTGACATTGCATTTACAGCTCCCTTGAGTTAATGAATATCCTTTTCTTTTTCTTGTTCTCGTGCCTTTTCTAGGATGATGTTTTATCTTATCAGCTTGTGCTTGCTGTTTGTGTATGTGTGTAATTATATGTGCTTCAATTTTGTTATTTTCTTTGGCAATAAATATTTTGCTGATGTATGTTCATCCCCAATTAAATCATCAGGTTATGAAATATGGGAATGAGAACCAAATCGACTTAATAGTTGCTGAGGTTGGTGGTACGGTTGGAGCAGCTCCACCTGAAGCACAGACTGAACTTTTCAATGCTCTGATTGATGGCTGTACGGAAGCAGTGGAACTTGGGAGCCTGGATCTAAAGGTTGGTATAAGTATAACAGTAAGTTCTCTTGAAGCAGGTGTGGAAATGGTTATTTGTATTCTCATTACTTCCTTAGATGCTTATAACATGTTATATTGCATCCAGGGGCCTTTGCTGGATTTTTTTGGTGTCCCTGTGAAGGCAAATGATCTACTTAACCGTGTCCAAGAACTTCAACTCCTAGCAAAGCGCATTAGTCGATATGAAGATCCCATTGCACAATTCCGTGTTTTAAGTTATCTCAAACCTGCAAACTGGTCCAAAGGTTGTGGATGGAATCAAAGTAGGTGTATCCTCTTAGTAGGTGTATTATGCAGTTCTTCGAGTGACTTAATTGCTGCTTTTGCTAAATCTGCTTTTGCTTGTTTGCAGTTGATGATGCAAGATTGCTTCTAGGAATACATTACCATGGTTTTGGGAATTGGGAAAATATTAGATTAGATGAAAAGCTTGGCCTTATGAGAAAAATTGCACCAGTAGAACTTCAACACCATGAAACTTTCTTGCCGCGAGCTCCAAATTTGAGAGACCGTGCTAGTGCCCTTTTGGAGCAAGTATGCTATTACTTTGAATTCTAATTTCAGCATCATATTCTTTTGTTTCTTCTGTATATGCGATTCACAAATCTGCTAAGGGATCTTTAATTCCTTCTTTCCTCTTCCTTTCTTTTTTTCTAATGCCTTTGCATGCTTCCTATTCTTCTAGACCTCATATTTACTTTTCATGAGATCATTTGGTAATTAGTGTTTCGATGTATCAGACTCCAAATGGCTAAAGTATATACTAGAAAGAAGACAATAGGAGGCAGACAAGCAACATAGTTGAGCAGGGAGGTTGTAATGTGAATTGAGGGGAATATACACACTATTATTCTGAAGCATAACAAAATGTTGAACTGGCAAAAATTAATGGGAAGATAAGGGAATTCGGTTGATTGGAATGAGAATACAGGGGGAAAGGAAGGAAGGGGGAGGCAGGCAAGGATTGAGTGAGGACTTGGGAAGGAGGAACAAGCCCCTCAAAGTTTTTGGGCTATATGTATTTTCCCCCCTGTTTTGATCCTTTCTCTGAGTGCAATCTCGCTCTCAGACTGATCAGAATGAGGAATATTTTAGGGATACTTTTAATACATACAGTAGATTTCTGGTCCAGTTTTCCATCATCATGTCTATATGATTATACGCATGCTTCTCTCTTTTTGCTTGAATGTTTTAAACTAAGTCTTTTTGGACTTAAAATTTCTCCCTAATGTCTTGCATTGCTTTGATTTTTGTTTTAGACTTAATTCGTGCAATATCCATTTCTCTTGACATCTCTACTCATGACAGGAAAAATTGACCTAGACGTATGAGGTTTTACCAATTTGTTGGGTTTTTTAGTCTACCAAGGGGAATGTTGAAGTTGCCATTTTTGAGCACTGATTTTTTGTGATTCCATTTATCAAAGACAGTAGATTTGGGATCATATGGTTTGGAGTAACACCTAGTCCTCAATCATAATATGGTGGCTCTTTCTTGCATTTTGTATCCCACCAATTTATGATCGCAACCTACTGAACTTTTTGTGCTTTCTTTAGTCGTTCATTTGTTGATAGATGCTATATTCTTTGTTGAATCAATTGCCATGATGTCTTCATATTTCTTGCTGTCTAGGAACTTGCTGTTCTTGGTGTAGAACATGCCAATAGCAGAGTTGCGCGGAAGCCTTCCAAGAAAGAGAGAGAGCATATGATGAACATCTCACTGTTGCGTGGACAGGAGAAGAAGAAAAAATTGGGTTCTGTTAATGTCCAAATGAGAAAGGATAGACTTCAGAAACCCCACAAGGTTGAACCTATAATAAAAGAGGAGGGGGAAATGTCCGACAATGATGAAGTATATGAGCAGTTCAAGGAGGTAAAATGGATGGAATGGTGTCAAGATGTGATGGTTGAAGAAATGAAAACTTTGAAACGTCTTCACAGGTTGCAGACAACGAGTGCCAATCTTCCCAAGGAAAAGGTACACCTATAGTGGGGTCATCTTTTCTTTTATTGTGTCTATCTCATGTATGTTCCACGATTTACTTTCCCCCTCTCTATTTTAGGTGCTTTCAAAAATACGCAACTATTTACAGCTTCTTGGGCGAAGGATAGATCAAATTGTGTTAGAACATGAACAGGAACCCTATAAGCAAGATAGTAAGTGCTTTTTTCCATTCTGAATATTTCGTGAGTTTCCTCATGGAGAGGTTTCTGCATTGTTCATTTGTCTGGAATCCTTTCATTTTTTTTGTTGGTCTCCTACTTCCTCTTGGAGAAAAGGTGTTAGCCAGTTTGTTTTAGGATTCTCTACTACGTTGTTGTTGTTGTTATTATTATTATTATTATTATTATTATTTTTCTCTTGCTTATTTACAGGAATGACTGTGCGACTCTGGAAATATGTCTCCACCTTTTCGCATCTTTCTGGGGAGAGGCTTCATCAAATATATTCTAAACTTAAACAGGAGCAAGAAGATGAGGCAGGGGTTGGCCCATCTCATGTCAATGGGTCAGCATCTATTTCATTTAGCAGAAATGGAAACCCATTCCCTCGCAGTACCGAGAGGCAAAGAGTATTAAAAAATACGACTACCTACCAAATGCCAGAACCAGTTAATAATGTAGGGAAATCTGAGGCATGGAAACGAAGAAAACGAACTGAAAGTGATGATCATTTCCTGGGTCAGCCGCCACCTCAAAGAACAATGAGTAATGGAATCCGGACTACTGATCCTAACTCACTTGGGATCCTTGGTGCTGGACCATTGGACAAACGCTTTGTTAGTGAGAAACCTCATAGGACACAGCCTGGTGGGTTTCCTTCAAGACAAGGCTTCTCTTCAGGTATAAAGTAGCCAGCTATGTGGGATCAGAGTGGCTGATTACAAGAGTGTTGGCGGCTGGCTTTCACTCTGCATTTTCACAGCTTCAGCTATTGTATATTCTCTAGAATTTTTTTTCCACCCATTGGAATAAGATCTTGCAGATCCCTTTTTGGTGTCCTGTGGTGGATCTGAGAAACATCCCTACACTGGAACTTACATCCTTGAACAAGGTGGCTGAAGCATATGAAGATCCGGTGCAGGATGAAATTGAGTCTTGCCCAATTTTTCCTTTTGATTTCTACCCCTCGTTGAAGATGAGCCAAGCAAAGTGTTGACATAGGGAAAGTCTAGAAAACAGAAACAAATTTACCCACTCGCTATAGACATACTTAGGAAAGTGTACATTGTCAGTTCTGCAATTTTATTGGATTCAACTGCTCCCTCCATAAAGTATCTTAGTTGATGCAGTTAGAAATGTATTTGATTTTTTTGGTAATTATAGCTATGATTTTCAAGATTTTGTAGCTCTTTCAAGGGAGTTCCATTGGTGAATAGTGAATGAAAAAAAATGAATTCTTGGCGCTTTGCCCGGAGTTTTTTCTTCCATTTGGTTTAAGTTTGATGCGTTTCCAGTAATTCATAGAATGCCTGTACCCAGGTGACTCTTTGGAACATTGTTCCAGTCTCTTTAAGACTTTTGGATTTTTTATGAATTATTCTCTTTCCTCTATATATTAAATTTATTATTCTTTCCTTGACAACCTTAACTGCTAATCACGTTGGTTCTTGACTCTTGTTTTATCCTGTTGGTATGACCAGCGATCATCAAATTAAGAGAGAATGGTTCTGATAATTCATGGCTTCTGTTTCGCCCTTGATGCTGTGGTCATGAAAGTAATTAACTTGCAAGCCTGGCATTACTGAAGGTGTTAAGTTGTAATTGATGGGGCATTCCTTTTCTCTTAGTTGCGTAATTTGCGGATTAAATACAGATAATTGTTGGATAATTTTGTATTTGTATTCGCCCAATCTTTAACTGTCATGCTTTTATATGAATATGTTATTCTGCTTTTTTATGTCTCAACATTACTCTGCATTTTTCTTTTTCTTTCGCAAGAAAATGTAAGCGAAGACCTCCCCCCTGATCCCTCTCTTTGTTTCTTGGAATTCAATATTATTTGCATATCTCTACTGGGACTCTGGAATATTTATGATGACTTTTTAATGTACAAAAGTATAATTTACTTGAAAGCTTTGTTGACGGATATAACCAATGGAAAATGCTATTACTTTAAAATATCATAGTCTACTGTACTCTGGAAAAGAATTTGTGTCATATAGGAGTAGAATTTGAAAGTATTCCCTTCTATAAAAGAAGTAGAAACTGAACTTGCAATGAACATATAGAAACAAAATATCAAGAAGATAAACACGATTCTCAGTGACAGCTCGGTGCTCACAGGTGGAACATACGTAAGCAGCTTCAAACTTTTGGGATACAGCCAAACATTGAAAAGGAATCTACATAAGTACAAAGGAGATTGCTGTGTGGCCTCATTTCCCTCCAACAGAACCAACGAAGTGTGGTCGACAAGCTATTATCTCTTTATCTTTCATATTGCTATCTCAGCCTCAAACTTCTAACTACTCAAAATTGTGAGGCAGTAAAATGTTCCCTCTGTTCTCGTTTCCAGGCACATATCAACTTAATGCCCATACAATTTAACCCTTGACCAAGTAAAAATTATGGAGGTATAAATTTTTAAATGAAAAATAATTTACATTTATTTGATAATGCCAAAAATATGAGCATGTAAAAAGATAACTTCTATGAGTTCTAATGCACCTTTTCTTATTAGTACATAGACTAACTTCTAAGTCGTATTGAATTTTAAAGAGGAAAATATGTAAAGATACTTTTGTATTACCAAAAAATAGGAGATGAAGAATCAAGAAATTTGGATAACAGAAAAAAATAGAGGCTGAAAACATATGTTTTGTTATTGAATTTAATGTCTTTCATATTATATAACAAAATTTTATTTCTTATATATATATATATATATATATATATATATATATATATAAATATATGAAATTCATGTGTTTTTTTTGTAATTCTTCTTTTTACATGGCCCCATATAATCCATCCACAATTTTTTATAAGAAAAAATGTGTGTATTTTAAATGACACATTTTATATCCTTTCACTCTCACAGAGAGGTGAGATCCACACCTTTAGAAAATTTTCGATCCATTCTCTCTCCCATGATTTATCTCTTTCTCTCACTTAAAATGGCACAACTTTGTGTCCTTCAAAATGATACACACTTTTCTTTTTTTTATGGGCTTTATTAATCTCCATCAATAGAAGAGAAGATATCTCCTGTCACTCTCACAATCATGTGGTGGGACCCACATGGTGATAAAATAAAAAAATAAAAGAAAACAAAGCTCAAGAATCGATGTCTCTATTGGAAAATAAACCATCTCATGTGGCTGAAGACTAGTTTTTTTTTTTTTTTTTTTTTTTATATGAGAAAAACTACTCTTATGTTACATGTGACAACTTTCTCTCCTACACACCTTCGATAATTGTGTCACCTTTTTCTTTTCTTTTCTTTTTGTTTTTCAGATGGTGGAACACACAAATTTGCTGAAGACTAGTTTTTCTCTTCTTTTTTTTATATGAGAAAAACTACTCTTATGCTACATGTGACAACTTTCTCTCCTACACACCCTTCGATAACTGTGTCACCTTTTTCTTTTCTTTTATTTTTATTTTTCAGATAGTAGAACACACAAATTTGTCTCTATGACATGAGATAACTTATCTCTTTTAACATGAGATTAATAAAACCCTTATATATATATATATATATATATATATATATATATATATATATATATATATATGGGCTTAGTGAGTATCAAGTGACTTGATGTAAATTTGGTCCAGTGCACTATATTCTTCCGCGAGAATATAGTGCAAAAAATATTTGCACTATATTTTCCCGGGAGAACACCGAAGAACGCCATTGTAATATTTTTGCACTATATTCTCGCGGGAGAATATAGTGCAAATTCACTCACTGAACAGTCCAGTGACTGAATATATATATATATATATATATATATATATATATATATATATATATATATATATATATATATATATATATATGGGTTATGTTTATCTCATTTTACATGAGATAAACATCTCTCCTACACACAAAAAGGGGTTGGGTCCCACCACTTTTTTTCTCTCTCTCCTCTTACATGTGGGTCCCACTTATACTTTTATTTCTACAACATGAGGTAATTTTTTTCTACAACATAAGAAAAATATATCCCTATATATATATATATATAGGATTGTTTTTCTTATGTTAGATAAGATAAAACAATTCTCCTACACAAACTCTTACGTGGGATTCACTTTAAATTTTTTCTCTTTTTTCTTTCTCTACTCTCTCTCTTCCTTTTGTGGGTGTAGGAACAATGCTTTATCTTATACAAAATAAGAAAAATAAATCTCATACATATATACAAAATAATTTATTGAAACATGAGAGAACCATTTGTTATTTGAGTGCAAATCCAAGCCAATCCATTCTTTGGCGCAAGGCGCATACAGTCAAGTCCTCTTATCTACCACGTGTGACGCTATTGGTTCTCCCCGCTCTATATTAAATAAATATGAAAAAAAAAATTATTGCATGCTCACGCATCATATTTTGGTCACTCCATAAATATATAAATATGAGTTTTCTCATTTGCACTTTAATATATATATAAGCTTTTAGTATCATCTTAGGGGAAGGAGGCACGTTTCTTCCTTCCCACTGCCAAATACCACAAAACTCACCGAAGATTCAACGTAATTATCTGATATGCTTCAGATATTAATTATATTTTCTACCTTTGCATGTATATATATATATATTTGAGTGTTCTAAGTTTGGTTTGGTTCTTTCATATGATTTTGTTAAGAATTTTGTCTGTCTCTCTGTAGCTGAAATTCTGAATTGTTGTCTCCAATATCAATATTTATCCTTTTCCCATTTCCAGTGAAAATGGTTTTTTGAAGTGCAAAAATCAAGTGGGGAGGTTTAGTAGCAAGTTCATATTGGTAGAAAAAATTGTCATATGTTAGTTTTATTATTGGTATTGATTTTACAACACAAAGCAGCTTTTCTCTGTTGTTCTAGACACCAATATATTCTGATTTTTTAATTTTTTTTTAAAATTGGGGTGATGGTCCAAAAAGAGTTTTTACTTAAGATTTTCAGTTTCAGATATGGCAAAATTGTTCTTATAGAGCAACAGTGATAATAAAATCATTTTCTATAACTTCCCCTTTTGGTCATGTTACTGAATCAACAATTCATCCTTGTAATATCGTGATATAAATGAATTTAAATGGGGATTTTCAAATGATTATGAGTTAATTTTTTAAGTTTATGACCAACGGTTCAAAAAGTTGTTAATACTTACTTTACAATGGACTTTGTATAGGTGGTTCATTGAAGGGAAAAGCCAAGAACTGCTTGAATTCAAAGAGGTTGAAATTTCAAGCAGGGGAAGATGGATTATGTTTATGGACCCGGAAGAAACCATCTCTTTGTTCCAGGACCTGTCAACATCCCTGAACCGGTCATTCGGGCAATGAACCGAAACAATGAGGACTACCGTTCTCCTGCCATTCCAGCAATGACAAAAACTCTGATTGAGGATGTCAAGAAGATTTTCAAAACTAGCACTGGAATCCCATTTCTTATCCCCACAACTGGTATTGTATACATGGACATAACATATTGTTCATTGTAGCATGTGGAATGGTTTTCGTGCTGTAAAGTCTATTATTATATTAACTTACCTTGTCATCAGGATGGTGTTTACTAAACTTGGTTACTTTATTTACATTGATAACTCAAATGCATCACAGTAAATGCTTAATCAACAATATTTATCATTCAAGTACAAGTTACTCCTTAGATTATATCACACTTTTGGAATATGATTTTTAGTTTGGAAATTTTTGAACCAAGAGAAGCTTGACTGCTGAATTCTTAGATGATATTATAGAATACTAGTTGCATTTAGTGTTTATTTATATCTTTAATGTTCATTTTTGTGAGTGTGACTGTTGTTTGGTTGGTATTCTGGAAAAATTGTTGGTTTTACTTGCCTGTCTCGTAATCTTCTTAAATAATGCTCCTGCATTTGTTTCAGGTACTGGTGCATGGGAGAGTGCACTGACAAATACGTTGTCTCCTGGGGATCGTATTGTATCTTTCCTGATTGGCCAATTCAGCTTGCTTTGGATTGATCAGCAGAAACGCCTCAACTTTAATGTTGATGTTGTAGAAAGTGACTGGGGCCAGGGTGCCAATCTTGACATTCTGGAATCAAAACTTGCTTCAGATACAGCACACACCATAAAGGCAATTTGCATTGTTCACAATGAGACAGCAACTGGGGTCACCAACAACTTGGCCAAAGTGAGACAAATTCTCGGTGAGCATGTCATCTAATGATGAATGTTATTATATCTTCTGGTGACAGCATCATACCTTTGCATGTTGAAGTTGATATTTATGTTCATATGTTGGAAAATGTCTTGTTATAAGTTTACCTGCTATTTGAACAAATGCTTAAGGAATAAAGCTGTTTTAACTGCAAATAACTAGTAATATTAGGAGGATAGCAGCAGCCAGAGTAGAATAGCATCATTAACATTTATGTACTGAAACTACCCAATTGGCTATGTATCTTGACATCATGACCACTTGAATTGATTCCTCTGACCTCAGTATGCACTTGAAACTTGGGCAGAATATTCACGTGTAACATCATTAGATTCAGAGGCTATATCTCTGGTCCCATGACAAATATTTCACTTGACAATGATTCTCAAGACTCATAAATTGAAATAAATTTTCTTAGTCTTCAATAAAAATGTGTTTTCTTGGAACATTTTTCAGGTCTGCAAATGTATCATTTCATTTCCAATAACTAGTTTTTCAAGCCTTCAGATTTTAATGTTCTTGTCTATTTTATTTTATTTTTCCTTGTTTTTTACAAAATGGTTCTCACATTGTATTTTGGACACTCAGATGACTACCAGCATCCAGCCCTTCTTCTTGTTGATGGAGTGTCTTCCATTTGTGCTCTTGATTTCCGTATGGATGAATGGGGAGTGGATGTGGCCTTAACTGGCTCCCAGAAAGCTCTTTCCCTTCCCACTGGGATAGGTATTGTCTGTGCAGGCCCTAAAGCCCTTGAGGCTTCAAAAAAGGCTAGATCCGTTAGAGTTTTCTTTGACTGGAATGACTATTTGAAATTCTACAAGTTGGGAACCTATTGGCCTTACACTCCTTCCATTCAGTTGCTGTATGGTCTGAGAGCAGCTCTTGACCTGATTTTTGAGGAAGGACTTGAAAATGTGATTTTAAGGCACAAACGTTTAGGCACAGCGACCAGGTGAGGCATAATTTGCTTATTTAAAATCATTATTAAGGGAAAACTCCCCTCCCCTTAAACTTCATTACCTAATTTTTACTTTTGAGCAAAGGTTTCTAAAAATTGATAGAGAGTTTTAACTTTTTGCTATCTTTTAAAGGAAGAAATTCTAATAAGTTCTCAATTTGCTAAATGCAGGCTTGCAGTAGAGGCATGGGGTTTGAAGAACTGCACCCAAAAGGAAGAGTGGCACAGTGACACTGTGACTGCTGTTGTTGTTCCTCCTTACATTGATAGCTCTGAAATAGTTAGAAGGGCATGGAAGAGATATAGTTTGAGCTTAGGACTGGGATTAAACAAAGTTGCTGGAAAGGTTTTCAGAATAGGACATCTTGGCAACTTGAATGAGGTAAAATATTAAATTCTCAAACACCTACCAGCAGATTGCAGGATATTAGTTAGCGAAACACAATATTTTGGCTTACCTTTTATGGACTTGTTATTCCATTCCCTTAGAGCATAGGCTAAATAAAATTAATGGAATTGTTTATAGTAAAATGAATTTAAAAATCCAATGCTCAAGTCAAAGAAAAATTCACCATTGGATAATTAATAAATATTTTTAAATATTTAAAATTTTAATTTATAAACCTATGCATAATACAATGCCTTTATATAGAGGATTAGATGCTGGAATTGTCTTATTTTCACTGCAGTAGGGAATTACAATGATACAAGTGTTGGATATTTTTACCCTTTAAGAACCAAATCTGGTACCTAAAAGTTAGAATAGGATGTGTCTGATTACAGCAAATAAACAGCCTAGCTAAATAAGAAAAAAAATAGGAATCCTAAAAACTATCTGTTATAATAATTCCTAAATCAGAATATATCATACTAAATCATACCAACTCCTAGTTTATTCTTACCATTTGACAAGAATCGGCAATGACCTTCAATTTATTGAATAGGCAAAATACTAAGTGGTCCTTAATATATGTCCTTAGGGAACATGTCAACAAACGGCTGGATTTTCTTATTCTTGTTTCATTTTCATGTAGACAGTTAGCAGAGAATAACCTGGGTAAACCTAAAGTTACCTATGTTGGTGACACTTTGACCATCAATTACTTTTAGCAACCGAGGTTGTTACCCTAAAGTGGTGTTTTTTATGTGTTCTCTACCCTTTTCTGGTCCACAGGAAGAGTTTGTTTTAAGAACCAAACTTAAATGGTACAGGTTCCCAAACTTCATTGATTGAAAACACAAGAAGTTCATAAATATTCAAGCTCTTTTCTATAGCTAAACATCTTGGACAAAAGAGCACTTTTTCATTCTTTTCATATACTAGGGGATTTCACTTGGAAAAGAAGATGTTTCATACTGATGGATTCGGTCCATAACTATGGATACCAATCTATGAGATCCTTTAGCACAAGCCCTGTCAATTAGCTTTCCACTAGTTCTTGTTAGCTTTCAAATTTTTGAATTATGATAGGAAGAGCAGCAAGGTTCAATTATTTCTATTTCATTAGATAATGTTTAACCTAACATGTAATATCTAATTATTAATGTCAAATAATTGTCATTAACTAAATTACTAGAGAGTTGCTACACTTGTTATAGTTATGTTTTTAAATATGTTTTCTAGTTGCAACTATTGGGTTGTCTTGCTGGTGTGGAGATGGTACTCAAGGACGTTGGTTACCCAGTAAAGCTTGGAAGTGGAGTTGCTGCTGCTAGTGCATACTTACAGAACAATACTCCTCTCATCCCTTCCAGGATTTGAATCACAAGCCATTCTTGTAATTAGTTTTCTTTCATGGTTTTCTGTAATATATGCATATTGTTCCCTTTTTGCACTCTATTCGAGGCTGAACTTATTCAGATATTACTTCTTTCATTGTCCTTTATATCAGAAATTACTGCATGGATTGACCTTATCTGTTACTTTTTTATGGACATGAAATTCATCATCAACTGTTAAATCACCAGGCAGAGAATACATATTCTTATAGGGTTTAGTGTGTGTCATTTAAAAGGACACAAGTTGTGTCCTTTTAGTGACTTACATAAAGTATGACCGGTCATACTTTGTGTAAATATGAAAAGTTGCTTTTTTTCACTTTACACGTCAGCGATGTGACTGAGGAGAGAGGAAAAAAACAACTTTTCATATTTACACAAAATATGACCGATCATACTTTATGTAAATCACCTAAAAGGACACAAGCTTGTATCCTTTAAAATGATACTTCTTTTTCCCATTCTTACAAATGCAAAACAAACACCTCTACATACAGAAAAGTGTAGAGTTATTGTATTATATCTACATAAAAAAAGTGTTGATGCAAAAATCTACACGCAATATAATGCTACAGAAAATTGTGTGAGTATTGTGTGTATTTTTTTTTTTTGGTAAAGAGTATTGTGTGTATTTAAATAGTTATGGTCCTTGTGGATGAATTGCTACTATTCTTATATTGTGCCCACAATAAACCTAAGAGGGGGGTTTGGTAGGTGGTTTGTTGTGGGAAATACGGGTAAATGAGAGTGGATATTTAATTACACCATGTTTGGTAGAAGTTTAGGGAAAAAATACCATGCAACCATTTTCTCCATGCAAATAATATTTGTGTGTAAAGTGAGGCAAAAATCACTATTTGAAAATACCACCTTGGAGGTGGTATTTGTAAATAACAAGGCAAGTGAAAAAATATTTGCAATAGGTCAGACGGAAATACCCCTTATCCTCATGTAAAAATTTAGCATAGAATCAAGTTTTACAAATCATATATCTTTGAATTTGGGCTACCCAGAGATGTAACTTTGGTTTTTCTTTTTCAAAACGTAAAGTTTGTCGGTGTGCAGAACAACAATTTATATTGGTGAGTATGATTTATATATCTTTACCCCCAAAAGAAAGAAAAAATCAAATATGAACAGTATTGTGTGTGGAGTTGGATAAAGATTCAAAAAAGGGTTATTTTCGTATTTTCAACCCATTTTTCCATTAATATTTTATTTTCAACCAAACATAGACTCAGTAAAATTAATCCAATTTTCTCGGTAATATATTGGCCTACCAAACATCTTTTTTTTAAATTTCCTATCAAACTCATTTTCTACCACATTCCTAGTAATTATATTTTCCTAGTAAAAAATATTTCCTCTATCAAAATCCACTTAAGATATGGGTTTAGTTTTGACATATATAGTCCCACATTGGTTGTATGTGCAACTAATGTGGTCTTTATAAGACCTTGGGCATTTTCACTCTTTGAGTTAGCTTTTAGGGTGGTATATCCCAAGGTTCTTTACATGGTATCAGAGCCTCGTGTCCCAGGTTCAAAATCTTGCCGCCTCCCACTTTAAAGTGGAATTAAAATAAAAAAAGCACAAAAAGGTAAACCAAAATTGGGCCTGTGCAATATCCACACGCTTCTAGCCCAATGAGATCTCGTGTGAGGGAGCGTGTTGAGATATATAGTCCCACATTGATTGTATGTGCAACTAATGTGGTCTTTATAAGACCTTGGGCACTTTCATCCTTTGAGCTAGCTTTTAGGGTGGTATATCCTAAAGTTCTTTACGACCCGCAATAAGATTTTAAAGAAAAAAAATCTGCACAATGTAATTTGAAGTTTGAACAATATGTTCGGATATGTTTGCTGCAAACAAACAAAAGAAAAGGTTATTTCTTTTATCATATTTTCAGACGAATGTGTAAGTGAATCAGTCTTTTTAAGTTTTATTGATGTATGAATTAATTAATGCCAATAGATTGCTTAAATTACATTATCAACAGTCTAAATCTTCAATTAAACTGTTCAAAGTGATTTTTCCCCACTTTAATTTTCATATTTTATTCCATAACAGCTTCCTATATGGATTCTATAATCAGAGCTTCTATTATATTCTTTTTCACGTGACGAAATTGTTTAGGCTAATTTATGTCATACTAATAATTATCCAAGTATTTCTCCAAAAAAAATAAAAATAATTATCCAAGTACTTTATTCTCCGTTCAAGGAAACATTTTGAAAATTTATTTTTTTAATCCGTTGCCGACATTGGGCTACGATGGGCTAGGATACAGGCCCACATGTGAGTACAACACAAAGCATAACGCACAGAACAAATCCACATCCACCACGCAAAACGAAACACGTGTCCAAAGATGTGTAACTGTGGGCCCCACGTTACAGTTGGCTACCATGGAATAATCCCCGGATGCTTCTTCTCTCTTTTTTTATTGCCCAGCTCAGAAACCATATCAAAGCAACACGTGTACATACTGTTCAATTTGCTGCGGGGAGCTTCGTGTGCACATGCACTGCACCCATTTAAATGAATGCCTTTGTTTTAATTTTAATATATGTTTATCAAACTTTATTCTGAACACTACTTGTGTTACTATTTTTAATATTATTTTTCAATTGGAGGGACAAATATAATTAATTAACAGAAAAATATTTTTACAATTAATGCAGGTAAGTTATCTGTTTTTACTTCCAAAATAATATTGCTTTTGATTGAAATATTAAAAAATTATAATTATAAAGACGGTAATAACTTGAAATAAATTAAAATTACAAAAACATTGTGAATTTCGTCACAAAACGACATCATATTGGACTTACTGCAGATCATTTATATTAAAGGTTATATTAAATGAGAAAAGTATTTCTCCAGTCATCAGAGATAAAGTTATCTCCAGTGAACTCAAAACGATGTCGTTTTGGGTTACAAGATTAAAAAATTATAATGATAAAGACTAATATAACTCTGCAATATATTATAATTACAAAAATACCTTGATTTTCGTCCAAAACGATGTCGTTTTGGGTTTACCCAAGATAATTTTCATTGACTGAAAAAATTCTTTACCAATATTAAATCTAGGATTTTATTAATCTCATATTAAAAGAGATAAATTATCTCATGTGATAGAGTCAAACTGGTGGGATCTACCACTTGAAAAAAAATGACACAAAAGGAAGTGTACGAGGAAAAATTTATTAATTTTTCCCTTAAATTTATACATTAATTTCCTAAGACTGGAACAATGAAGTACTATGAAAAAATAGCAAGTGGGACCCACACAGGTGCTCACAATAATTGGGGTGTGGTTGTACACACCCTATCTTTTTTCTACCTTTCCATATCGTAATCATGAAATAAGCAATGATGATGATGATCCGAAGAACCGTGTTTGTCTCGGAGCTTATCAATGAAGAGAAGGAGAAGGAGATGGAGATGAAAAAGAAAAGAGATCCCAAAACAGAAGAAAGTAACGATTTTTCGAGATGGGTCTTTCGAAGGAGAATCTAAAAGGTCTTAGTCTAGCATTGGTATCAAGTACGTTCATTGGGGCAAGCTTTATCATTAAGAAGCAAGGCCTTCGAAGAGCGGCTGCTGTTTCTGGTGTCAGGGCTGGTGAGTGAATGAATCAATGAATGAATGAATATCTTGTGATTGTGATTTTCTCATTTTCTTTTTCAAGAATTTCTAATTGGAAGCTTGTTTTGGTTTTGCATATCTTTTGTTCTTTATCATTTTGTAGGTGTTGGTGGCTATTATTATCTCTTGGAGCCACTCTGGTGGATAGGGATGATCACAAGTAAGTTTCAAATGCTGTTTTTTTTTTTTATATTAATTATGTTCCAATGTTTTTAGTCTTGTCAAACCTTTTTTTCTTTAAGATTATATATATGGTAGATTAGTTGTTGTAATATTGATGGTTAATTAGAATCTGCAAATTTTAGTTTATCAAGGGCTGTTTTTCTTTATCTGATTTCTTGCAGAACCTGTTTCTTTGTGTTTTCTTGTTCAGTGATTGTAGGAGAAATTGCAAATTTTGTTGCATATGCGTTTGCCCCAGCAGTTCTAGTTACCCCTCTTGGTGCATTAAGTATTATTGTGAGGTATTCCCCTTACTTTTCTTCCTCAATTGAGAATTAAGACAGTATTATCTTCTAATGTTGGCAATTTGGTTGCTTCTTCTATGGCTTTTGCATCGGTAATTTGGTATCCTCCAGTGCTATTCTGGCTGACCTTATTTTGAAAGAGAAGCTACACCATCTTGGGATATTGGGCTGTGTAATGTGTATTGCTGGTTCTCTCGTTATTGTGATTCATGCTCCAAAGGAGCAACCTATTAAATCTGTTCTGGAAATATGGACTATGGCTACTCAACCAGGTTAGAATCCTCTGCCTTTTTCTGAATGCAATTTATTGCAGTTCCCTTGATAACAGAGGTATTCTCCCTGCATGCAGCATTTCTGGCATATGTGGGCTCGGTAATAGTATTGGTTTTCATTCTGGTCTTCCATTTTGCGCCTAGATGTGGACATACCAACGTGCTAGTTTTTACTGGCATTTGTTCATTGATGGGTTCCCTCTCTGTAAGTAAATTAATTGTTCTCTTTCCTTCTCTGTCTTTGGTTTGATGATTGATCTAACTTCAAAGATTTTTTTGCTCAAAGTTATTTAGTTTAAAACATATACAACCTGAGGAATATGATTTCATGTTGAAAGTGACTGGGTCTTCACTATTCACTAGCATTATATTGCAAGACCTGTGTTCTAATAGTGAATTTCATAAATAAAGTTTCGGCTTCCATGTAACTTTGTATATGTTTTATTTGTATGTACTATTATGTTTTAATGTTTTCTCCCTCTACCCCAATTTCGTGTGCTAGAATTATAATATAAAAACTATTAATGTGCTTTCACCTAACAACTTAAGCTTTTAGTTAGGAGAGTTAGTTCTTGACATAATATTAGAGTTTCTATGACCACGTGGTCTAAAATTCGATCCTTGCAACCCCCATTTTTCTAATAAATATTGTGGAATTTGATCCTTGCATTAGGGGGGCGTATTAGAAATAAAATATAAAAATTATTCATGTTCCTTCACATAACAGCTTAAGCTTTTAGGAGAGTTGATTCTTAACAATGTGGATAATTTTTTCCATCCTAATCACTGAAGATATTTACTGAAAAATGTTCTGTGTAGTAACACTGCAATAATATGGCGACTGATCTATATGGAATTACTATAATTTTGCAGGTGATGAGTGTTAAAGCCCTTGGAACTTCTTTGAAGTTAACTTTTGAAGGGAAAAATCAGTTAATCTACCCGGAGACATGGTTTTTTATGTTAGTTGTGGCTATATGTGTCGTCATGCAAATGAATTATCTTAATAAGGTTTGTTACTTGATGACTCTTGAAATTAGCATTCTGGCCTCATCCTACATACATTTATGTCAATGACCTGTTGGTGGTAGGTGAAATATTTAAGAAATTCTTAAGTTGAAATATACCTTCCGATTGTAATGTGTTAGTATACAATTAAGAAAATTATCTCTTCCTTTTCATTTTTATGTTTTGCATCTATCCTATCTTGATCCATATAGTCCATAGGAAGTGCTTTTTATTGGATAAAATAAAGGTTTATTAGAGAGACAAAGGGGAAAAAAGAAGAAGGAAGGAGGGTATCATTGAGCCTAAGAGGCTCAAAAATAAAAAATGCAACAAAGCTGTCTAATGTCTCTATATATCAATGAGATTCCCTTACAAACCATGCGCTGGAAACCAAAGCTAGGCCATGGACACTATGGTCTGGAGTTCAATCCTTAGGCCTCCATTCTTTTAATACAAACTTGAATTTTAGCACAAGGGTATATTGTCCACGCTCCAAACCAAAGGGCTCTTGCGTGATATAATATAAAAATCATTCATGCGTGTTCATCTGAAAGGTTAAGCTTTTGGGACGGTTAGTTCATGACAGTAACAATAGTAGTTGCATTTTCTTGCTTTGAACATATTTCTCATTTCTTTTGTATTCTGGACATATGTGTTAATTGAAATATGCATCACAATAATACCAATAAAAGTAGCTGTTTTCCCTGCCTGGTAAGTTGTTTGTAACAATTGGCTGGATTGCTGAGGAATTAGCATACTGTTTGTCATGATTAAATGGTTTTACAAAATATATTGATTCTGTCTACTCAGCCGCGGATGTCTTATGAAAATAAGACAAGATGCAACTACTGCATTTATCTGAGACACACTAGGTCTTTCCTTACAAGTAATGATAATTTCTTTATATCTTGGCTTGATTTTTGTAATTTGTAATCTCATCTGGGGTTTAGTTTTGAGCACTATATCATTGCTTCTATGAAAAAGATTGGCATATTAGTAGGACGTGCATAGGGATGTTTGACACGAACCTTGGGAGAGCCTCACCCCAAAGGCTAGCCCATGAGGTAGGAGGGCCCAAAGTGCATATAAACCCCACATTAGTCACCGGTATAACCAATGTGGGACTAAGTCTCATACCTTGCAATTGGATCATAACATTCCACCATACTCCGCAGTCCCGGCGTCCATGCGGGCTAGCTTTGCGCTAGTCTTTTCTAGCCCTGGACGAACACTGCAATACCAGTGTCACCACCCGCTCCGCTCGATTGCAACTGAGAGATATAGTGGAAGGCTCTACTACCAATTGATACGAACCTTGAGAGAGCCTCACCTCAAAAACTAACCCATGAGGTAGGAGAGCTCAAAATCCATTTAAACCCCATATTAGTCACCCATATAATCAATATATGATTCAAGTCCCATACCTTGCAATTGGATCGTAACAATGTTAGTTAAGCCTGACTAGATGGTTACTTTGCTTTTGTCTGTTTCTTCATAATCTGTTTGCCTGTAATGTACCTTGATGTAATGACTTGATCTTTTGGAAGTTTAAAATGAAAAGACTGGCATTGATATTTGCTAAATTACAAGTATTGATAACACTCCCAGTGACACAGTGATCCATTACACTTTCTGATATATATATATATATATATATTTGTGCATTATATACAAAGTTCTTATATTCGAAATTTTGAATCAGGCATGCTTTACTAACATGACTATAATATTTCAGGCTCTTGACACCTTCAACACAGCAGTTGTATCTCCTATATACTATGTCATGTTCACAACACTTACAATACTAGCCAGTGTAATAATGTTTAAGGTATCATCAAATAGTTTTGGCTTTTAATGTAGGATACATAAGATATATCTGTTGTCCATGAATTGTATATGAGCCTAATAACATTTCAAAATAATGCTTACAGGATTGGGATGGCCAAAGTAGTGGAACTATTATGTCAGAAATATGTGGCTTTATTGTTGTGCTCTCCGGCACGATATTGTTACATGTGACCAAGGACTTTGACAGAAGCCCTTCTTTTAGAGGTGTGGTAAATTTGATCATACTACTTAGTTCCGCTGACTAGCCAGATTACTCTATGGAACCATAATTGATATTTCCTTGTGTTGAAGCAATTGCAGGTAGTGCACCTTCATCGCCTACATTATCTGTCCGACTTTATAATGGAAATGGAGAATATTTGCTTAAGGAAGATGAGGAAAATGTATCTCCTTCTGACAGTATGTCTTCAAGAAGGCAAGAATTATATTAAATAGTATATGACACAAAGAAGGTGTTAATTCATTTAATCATGAAGGAAAGGGAACCCTTCCCTGGAGAATCTGAATGAGATGCCCATCAGACGATAGATGCCATGCAACTGCAGGTACTAATGAAACCACAAAATGATGGGAAATTTCTGAAGCCATTTTTTTGTTATGAGCATCTGAGGAATTTGTCTGCATAGATTATTAGTTTTGACTTTGCAAGATGGTTCTGGGAACTAATTCCTTGCAGGGTTTATAATGTACAGCGCTTACACAGTTGCTCGTGTCAAACAAGTGGTTTGTTCCCTTGTCAAAGTAGTTAATATGCTGTAAGTAGTCATGGGATTGAGATTAGTTCTTTACATGAAAAAACAAAGTGAAGCAGGGATAGAGTTTTAGTTTGTCAAAACCATCTGCATGGTGATTCTTTGTTTTGTTTTTTTATTTGATTTTTTTTTTTTTTTTTCTTTTGGCAATTCGGCTTAGCATACAGGATTCATTTGTGGTTTGTAAGTAGTGAGATGTACAGGCAACTAAGCAATTTCCTATGAATAAGAACTGGTTGCAAGTTACTTGTCATTATGATAAACAAGGGGCAGATTGCATTGACCAAATATTGTTTTTTTTTTTTTTTTTTTTTTTTAATTTTGACACACTTTACTAAGTGTTTCTCATTCATACCAAACATTTTTGGCAGCCAAAGTCGACATAATTCGTTAATTCTAACACCCAATCACATTACTTGTTCTTGTGTGTAGGTTTCCAGGTTACTAGTGATGTATAGGAGAAGTGATGAAGATATTTTAATAATCCAGTTCAGGTCAATAAATAAATAAATAACACATTTTTCTGATTGAAAATGAAAATCTATTATTAGTTAAATATAAATTTAAAAATTTATAATTAGTTACGTATAATTTCGGGTCAAATGAAAAAAAAGTAACGAAAACAAACATAAAATTATCCACACAAAAAAGAAGATAAATTGTGTGAATAATTAGTTAATGTAAAACAAGATGATAGTATAATTTTTCAGAAATCATACTTAAATTCACCGGTAAATATTAATGTAATATGAGAAATTTGCAATTGCGTAATCTTTCAAAAATATTAATATTTTTTAAATAATAATTTTTTATTTAAAAATATTTAAATATTTCCAAAATATAATAAGTTAATCACCAACATAAGCATGTGTTATTTTTTATGATCACGAGATAATCTTAATCATTATAAATTAATGATTATTTTTTTATCACTCTCTAATTTAATATCTTTTCTCTCTCATTCTTTATTATTTATTTATTTATCCATAAATAATTGAAATTATTTCATATTATCTTTTCATATTGTTAACACATCTCACTTTTATAACACATCCTGCACATTAATTCAAAATGGATTCAGAATTTTTTTTTTTAAAAAAAAAGATTGATATATAATTTAAAAAGACTTATCATTTAAAATATGTATCAAAGTTGAATTGGAAAAGAGAGAGATGGGTGCTCAGTCTAACCCCCTCTTGGGTCTGTCCCAAGGAAGAAAAAAGATACAACAAATATTATGGGTATTATTATTGTATGAAAAGTTGAGTCTCCAATCCATCTATAAGAAATGTAGTTTCCTTTGAATAAGAAAAAGTTTCTCATTTGTAAACATGTTCCTATTCTTACATGCTCAAACATACTAAGATTTTTTAAGCCTTCAAAGCTTGAACTTCTTTGAAGAATCCAAGGAGGGAACCTCGCCTCAAAAGCGTGGTCTAATGTACGCATGCTGGTAAAGCATCTCGCAATTTCCACGCCCTTTCCCTTTCCCTGGCTGTCTCTTTTGCCTTATTAGTCTCACGTTCTCTTCCCGGTGTTTGGTACAAGAAAAAATTCTATTTGTTCGAAAATTTTGATTTTTAAAAATATAATTTTTATATTCAGTTTACGATAATATTTGAAAATTTAAAATTTTAAAAATTTCAGTTTTCCGAAAATCTAAAAAAAATTCGTGCACCAAAGGACCCCTTAAGAATTCTTGAGAATAGACAATTATAAACGGAAAGAAATGCAGTTAAAAGACTAGGGTAATACCTAAATTCTGATGGACAGCCACCCTTCAAAAACAAGGTGGTTGGCCCTTGGTTTATTATAAATTTTAAATGTTACGTAGATTTTTCGTTTCTACAAAATGTGTTAAATTTATCACTTACTTGATATAATAATTATTTTATTATCGTTATTAGAAGATGAATTAGCATGAACATGACTTCATACCCTGGTATGCTTGTGAAATACAACGATTTACTCAATGAATCTCTTTAATGTTAAAAGTTTCAAAACAATTAAAAGTTTAATATTTCTTATGTTGTAGCAGATAAAGTATCTTATACATATAAAAATATATAAGGTCAATATGAAAAAAAAAAAAAACATAAATCTCATCTACTACTTTTACATGTATGTAAAAGATAAAATTATCTCGTAAAACATCATAAACAATAAATCCAACAACTATATCTAAAATGACTCTACTTTATGTCAATATTTATTTTCAAAGGAATATTTTTTTAATGGTCCACCAGACATTGCTCCATTTTCCTTTCACTAATATTATAAAGACTTTATTAATTTTTTTCAAAATGCGAGACAATGAATAAACCATATTTATCAGTAAGAAATAGCAGAAAAGAAAATAGAAAATAGCATTATATTTATTATGACTTAAGGACCAAGATAAGGGTCCGTGTCGGTGTCGGCGTCATATAATAATTTAACGTAAAAACGCCAAGGCTGGTCTTAATTTATATCCGAAGACGAGAAAAAGAAACAAAAAAAGAAAAGAAGGAGTGATTGGTTTTTATTTTTTGATATTTGAATTTTGAGGAAAGTGAGTTGAAGTGGGGTGACGAATGGCGAAACTGGAAGCGAAGCTTGGGATGATCGTGGACAAGATGGGTAACTTCTTCTCCGGCAAAGACCAACAACTACCGTGGTGCGACTCTGACATCATCGCCGTATGCTCTCTCTCTCTTCTCTTTTCACAATTTCCTCCATCCATTAATGAATTATTTATTAGGTTTTGGAGTTTATTGCTATTTTTCATCCTCTCAATCTGAAAATTACTCAATTCAACATAGTTATCTGTTAATTCAATTTCTTAACAATATCATTTATGTATCATTGTTGTGTTGCACCCGAATATCCGATTATACTGCTCTAAGTCAACAAAGTAATTGCTCCTAACATTCCCCCCCCTCTTAAAATGTTTTCTTTTATAATTCCTTGAAAATTGTATAATTGCTTGTTCTGGAAACTCCTCATAAATGTTATAACACACTAGGTGACCTTCCTTGTCAGAGCCATTCATGTACACCACCTTCTCCAGATCATCTTCCTCTAACAATAACTCAATTGATTCCAAACTCCTTCCTCCTCTAAATTGTGTTCTTGATCAAGGTGAATAAAAAAACTAATTCTTCTTCGATTGATCTTTTTTTAATCCACACAATAAAAGTTTAAATAGACAAGAGACAAGTTCAAATTAGTAACCACTCTAACAACAACTAAACTGAAATAAAACAACCCACTATTATGATGCTTATCTCCTAACAAAACTACCCTAAACTAACATATCCCTAACATTCCTATCGCGTATAAGATTTTTTATGAAAAAAATTGAGCTCTATTGAGGAAGCTCTGTCTCAAGCACACAAGTGCAATAAAAAAACTAGTTCTTCTTTGATTGATTTTTTTAATCCACACAATGAAAGTTTAAATAGACAAAATTCAAGTTAAAATTAATCACCCACTACAACAACCAAACAAAAATAAAACAACGCACTATTATGATGCTTATCTCCTAATAAAACTACCCACTAACATTCCTAACATTCTCTCCCTCTTAAAAATTATTCTTGTCCTTGAGAGTAAGATCAAGTAATTGAATGATCTTCAATATCCATGTCTGCCTCTCTATTTCTGTTGATTGATAAAGGCCTTCAAACAATGACCCTTTCTATCCTCTTCTCAAGGAATTTTAGAAGTGAAGCTATCCTTGGATATCACATATCTAAACCAAAAACTTCGGGTATTGGTCATGGGGGCCTCCTGGGCAGTGTTTGATTGAGACACTTTGACCTCGTTCAATTTTTCAATAGCAATGGCAATGCTAGGGGGTTTTGTCATCAAAATTATCCATGCCTAGCTTAGTGACTAACTCCATGGCCTTTGTCGCCTTCTCAAGAGGAAAATCCAGCTTCCACCTTCGAAACATACAACATTGCTTGGCCCAGATGTAAAATGGGAACGGGGTGGGCATGGGTAAAATTAATTGATGAATTGTCTTCCTTTTGAGAGTTTGGGCTTGCGACTAGACCATCTAGATGATTGGAAAGTTGGGTGAACATCTTCTTGAACTACACCTTCTAAATTTTTCACTCATTCGTCCATGCCAGAGCTCTGATACCAAGCTGTTATGTATAGGATTTTTGATGAAAAAATTGAGCTTGATTGAGGAAGCTTTGCCTTAAGAACATAAGTGCACAAAATAATTCTTCTTTGATGTCTTCATTCAACAATAACTTTAATAACAATGACAAAACTCAAAGATAAATTGTCCACTACCAACATGCTAATAACTGCCCGACTAACATAATGGAAACTAACTACTTCTATCCACTATTTGACTATTTTGCTCCTATCTACTATCTGACTAAGTCAACACAATAAATGCTCCTAACAATCAACTTGTGATTCCCCCAAAAAATATATAAACTTGGAGCCTGACATGTTCCTTAGACTTGTTGGTCACCATTGGAACCTTGTTTCTTTTGATATGTTTCGTTGGTGTTTTATAACTTGACATGTCTGCACTGCAGGGATGTGAAAGAGAGGTTGCGGAGGCCGGGAAAGAGTCCACTGATGAGTCAATGAAAGAGTGTCTGTTGCGTTTATCATGGGCTCTTGTTCACTCAAAACGACCAGAAGATGTACAACGTGGGATAGCAATGCTTGAAGGTGGCTGTTAATGCAAGTGTATATTTTGCCGAGTAATACTGTGCACCTATTTTGTTCATGAAATTTGTGTTAACATTAATATGACATGTACATGGCAGCATCTTTACCTGGTACAGACAACCCACTGCAGCAAAGGGAGAAGCTATATCTTCTAGCTGTTGGATATTATAGAAGTGGTGACTATTCAAGGAGTAGGGATCTTGTGGAGAGATGCCTAGTGGTATGGTCTTCTCTCTTTGAACTTACTGCTACTTGGTTATCTCGGGAAAGAATAGATCCTTCTAGCCCTCTAATTTTTTAACCTCTTAGACTCCATCCCCCTTTAATGATTTTACCTGTTCTTTTTGAAGAAATTATCATAACCTTGTGTTTTGTTCCATTGATTTAAACTTTGTTTCCCTAATTAGTGGCAGAGAAACCGAGGTCTCTGGCATAAGATTTAAGTAGAGTTTATTGTCTGTTGGGACTTTTCTTAACTGGTATCTCTACCTGATTTAACATTGAGTAACACTTGCGTTGGTTGTTGACACTGGTTCAAACGCTTTGAAATAGGGTAGGCTTATTACAAGAATCATGTACATCTTTTTTACTCCTCGGTTCCTTTTCGTTTACTGAAGTCTTTGATGCACAATTTTCTTGGAAAGTTATAGAGGAAAAGTTTACAGATTTACTATCTATTATGTTTTGGGCGTTTTTGTGATACCCCCTCCAAATCCAACAACAAATTCTGAGTGAGAGGTCAAAGTATGCCATCAAATATTGTATATCAACCCATTGCATCAATACCAATACAGCTTGTATATATAGTTTGATGTGATATCATTACATGTTTTCTTTCATAGATTGCACCCGACTGGAGGCAGGCGGTGACACTTAAGAAGACAATTGAGGATCGGATCACAAAAGGTACCCATCAATTACTGATGTTTCTCCCATACATTTTCTGCCTCTCTTTTTTTGTTGAGAGCAAGAGGAAAGGGGGTTGATGTTGGCTCTAATAAATCAATGACACTGTTTCTTTTCCTCCATTGTAGATGGTGTCATTGGCCTAGGCATTGCTGCAACTGCTGTAGGACTGATAGCAGGTGGGATTGCAGCAGCTGTGTCTCGAAAAAAGTGATAGTCTTTCCAATTAAACACATATGAATGTAACAGAAAAATATATAATACTTGGAATTCACTGCATCTTATTGCTTTTTTTAAAAGGAGGTTATGAACATAATGTATACAAAGCGGTGGAGATAATATCGTACTTATGTTCATGTTAAGGAAATTTTATTTCTATATTTGTCTTATTTATATTTCACTCCATTTTTTTTTATGTCTCTTAGTCAATCATATTCCTGTTTTTTTACCCCATATATAATGCAATTCTGCAGTCCAATTACTTACATTGAATCTCGAGATAATTTAAGTCGACCTATGGCACCGACTCTTAACTCCTTGATAATATGTAGAAATAGCTGTATCAGTAAGTAATTTCAAGTTTTGTCAAATCATCTATTAAAACGACAAATTGTTCTGACGTGCTCTTTTATTGTTTTTTTCTTCAACAAATTAATACACTCAATAATTCCTACATTGCAACGGGGGCATTATTTTATTAAGATTTTAGTTAAATGCCTTTCCGTGTTACATCGCCTCAATATTCCCTAATAGTTGGCAGCATTTTAATCTAATTATTCAAGATGTGGAGTCGTACTGGACAGACTACATACACTTGGAATGAGGCCATTTTTGGTTTTTTTCTGTTGTTTGGTGCTGGAAGTTTATTACATGTGGGCATTGGGCATAATAGCGGGATAATAATAAAAAGTAGAACATAACCTGGTCCACTTTGCTCATGCACTAAAAGTAAATGTTACTTTTAGTACCCAAAAAAAAAAATGTACATGTTAACTGAAAAACTGAAAATAGTTTGAATTGATTTAACTGAAGGGATTATGCAGCAGTAGAAAGAAAGAAACAAAAAAAAAAAGTGAGGCTAGGCAATTATTCCACATGGTGAAATGAATCTACTTGGTAATTGAGAAGATGGAGGAGAGCTCCTGCACTGCGTTGAATAGTCCAACCAATCAGAGAATTCGGTCATTGGCAATTCCACTGGTTCCGGGTAGCATCGAGGGGAATCAGGAACCTAAAACCATAAAAAAGGGAAACGGAAGAAAGAGCGAATGTTGGACAAAGAGAAGCAAACAGTTTAAATTGTCTCTCTTATCAAATAAATGCGTAACTTATAGTGGATAATTAAATCCTTCAATCAAGATTTAAAGCAGTCATTTTTATCGTAGATCACAAAAAAACGAAATAGTATATATATAAAAGAAAAAATATTTCTACATCCATTTTAGATAGGTAAAATTATATCTTCAGCCGTTTTACGTACAGTGACGACAGGTGTATGGTTATGATTCTCCACATTTAATGTTTTCATCTTTTGTATGGTTATAATTTTTCACATTTAATATTTTCACGTATATATATGGCAAGTATTTGATTGCTGCACAGCTGCAGAATGTAAACCCCTTTTAGATAACATTATCTATAGTTATCTTTTTTTAACTAAGTCTGACTAGTAAGACATAGTTATAACATTAAAGATGTTTATATCTTACTGGTCAGACTTAGTTAAAAAGGGTAGATGTAGACATGCAAAAAAATTAAATATTGCTATTTTAATAAATAATTACTAATATATAGCTGTTTTGAAATTATTTACGAATCTGTTGCAAAATTTTTTAAAATGCTTCATATACCTTAACAGTGTTCTATTATCTTAGCAATCTTCCCTAATAGTGTTCCTTATAAGGCAGCATTTTAATCTATTGATTATAAGAGATGCAGAAACCTGGACTTCTCAAAATTAGAGTCACACTGGACAGACTGCACCTGCAGCGCTGCCATTTTTGGTCTTTTCTTTGGTGCTGGAAGCTTAATACATTCTGGGCATAATATAGAGCTAATAAACACATTACTGTGGGATAAAAAAAAAAACAAAATCAGTACTACATAACCTGGTCCAATTTGCTCATGCACTAAATGTAAAGGTTAACTGAAAAACTGAAAATAGTTTGAATTCATTTAACATAAGGGATTATGCAGCAGTAGAAAGAAGAAACAAAAAAGAGAGGCTCGGTAATTTCACATGGTGGAATGAATCTACTTGTTCTATTGCATGTAATAGAAAAAATAGTGGGTTTCACTTATGCATCATTTTCTGGCTTCAGAACAAATTCAACTGCTTCATATTTCCATTGAAAAGGGGATGGTGGCGAGTCCCATGGTAATGGAGAAGATGGAGGAGATCTCCACTGCGTTGAATAGTTCAACCTATCAGAGAATTCGGTCATTGACACTTCTACTGGTTCCGGGTAGCATCGAGGGGAATCAGGAACCTAAAACCATAAAAAAGGGGAACAGAAGAAAGACCAAATGTTGGACAAAGAGAAGCAAACAGCTAAAAGTGTCTGTCTAATCAAATAATGCGTAACTTTATATTGACTTATAGTGGATTACTAAATCCTTCAATCAAGATTTAAAGCAACAAAGTCAAGCACAGTCATTTTTATTGTATATCACAGAACGAAATAGTATATATATATATATTCAATGGTTGTTTTCAAAGTATACTTCAGCTTCAAATACTTGTAAACAAAGCAAACTAAAAGTGAAAAGGGTATCACAGAAAGACCTTACCTGTATCTGCTCTATAATAGGTATGGAGTCTGCAGAGATAAAATGCGGTTAGGAGTTTTATCATCGTATGTATGTAGTAATAATAGTAATAGACAGGGACATCCAAATTTAATTCACCAAAAGATTGAATAGAAATCCTCGATATTTTTCAAATCAACTTGTTTCATATGAATTTTTTTGGTTAACGATTTCTAACGAAAACTTCAATGCCAAATGCTAACACATTCTATTGTCTTCTATTACTACAGATGTGCTAGAAATAGTTGACTCCCCTTAAGGAACGTACTCTCATGCGAATATATTATATATATAATCACATCATAAAATTCAAGACCACATTTTGCTTGTAATTTGTAGAGCTAAAAACTAAGACATTGATTCAGCAGATGTCAATATCCTTAACAAAATTCTGAAGACCACACAACAACAGACAATAATCCATCAAATACTGAAGTAAAAGCCAGATAGGGATTACCATCTGGGGGAAGAAGCGTCTCTAGATTGAAATTGCTCAACGCAGCTTTTTGGGCCTCAATGCACTTCCTGTGATCATGCAAGAACATTTCCTCCTTTATATTAATATCTTCCTTAGGTAAATTCTTTTTCCTAGATGAGGCTTCAGGGTGAAGTGATTTTTTGTTTGTTATATCATTTAGAGCTTTTCGACCTGCAATCCCCGAACCACCTTTCTTTCCACCTGTCTTAGAATTCTTCGACTTGGCATTCAAGACAGCCTCTATCCGAAGCAAGCAAAAAAAGGACAAAAGAATACAGAACAAAACAAATATAGTAAGAGAAGAGTGCAGTAAATACAAATGCTCTGTGAATAATGTTAGAGAATGCAAAGCCAATTTCTAAACTCGGTGATTCTTTCAAAACATTTCAAATTTCAAAATCTTTTTGACTACTAGTTTGTGACAATGATATTCCACAGAACCCACTCTAGGTTTTGGCCTTTTGGGAATTGGTGTTATAACTTAAAAGCAACATAACATGTAAGACTTACTTTTGGGCTGAAGATCCAAGTTTTCATCTTTGATCATCAGGGGTCGAGGAGCAACAAATTTAGCCATTATCTTATTTCACTTTATTCAGAAAGCAAAGACTTGGATACTGGACACTGCAGCACAAATTAAAAAAATCATGTGAATAAAAATAAAAAGGAAATAAACAAAATCAAGAAGCAAGAGCAAAAGTCAACTTAAGATCACGCATATAAATGAAGACCCTTAGGAATACAAAAGAAATGAGCTATGAATGTCTTTAGGAATTGAATAGGGTACAAGAATCTTGCGACTCAATAAGCAATTATCATCAACAACAATTTTGAAGAACCCTATACCAAGCAAGAAATAAGGGATAATAAAATCAAACTATTAACAAACATTTGTGTGAAGCAGGACATGCCTCTCTAATTTGTACCGATGATTTTCAAATTCAAATAAATTTTAGGGTTTCGTTGGTAAAATGAGAACCAAACAAGTAACCAACAAAGGAAGAAAACCTTAAATAATTGGCGATTGTGGGGTTTGTTCGACAAAGAGAATACAAGAGAATGAAGCGTAACCTGTGAGAATGAAGAATGAAGAATGAAGAACGAAGAATGGAGAAGAAAAAGACCGTTGGATTTTGAATTTTCACTGAGAAAGCCCGCTATCACGATACCCATCTATATTTATGAGAATTTTTGACAAAACAGCGAAATTCCTTTATTTTGACACGTGTTCATAGGGTTTTTTTTTTTTTTTTTAGGGAAAACTTCAATTACCCCCTATAAGTTTGCTCAAAATCATTTACCCCTCTCTCCAAAAAATTTAATCATTTACACCCTCATCTAAATTTTTTTTATCACTTACTCCCCTATTTTCATTTTCGATCCAAAAGTAAATTTAACTCTATTAACTTTAAAAAAAAATATCATATCTACCCTTAAAATCAAAAAACAACTAATAGACCAGAGTTTGGGTTCCAAGTTTTTTGCTCGCTCCAAAACTTTCTTTTTCCAATTTTCTTCTTTAACACACTTACCCTAAATCGAAACTCCTTGCAAGTTCTCATTTCATGTAAGTTCCCAATTTTCTTCTCTGCCAACTACGAACACCAACGCCCTGTGAGTTCCAAGTTCCCATTTCATGTCCAATATAGTAGTTCTACTTAAAAGGACTTGTTTCCTACGTTATCTTTCTCAAATATAATGTTGATGATCTTGACTGAGATAGATAATTTTTTTACTTTATGTAGTGAATGTTAAAGTTGATTATTTTTGTTGTAAATTTCCAAATCTGAGAACAAATTTAGTAGGCCATCATTAGCACATTTGTTGCTAGTTTTATTTTTTATTTTTAAAGTTGTTTATTTAGGTGCAAAGATACAATATGAATTTAATTTTGGAGCTCCTATAGAAGCTATTTCTAGGTATGCAGGTTACAATGGATGATTATGATGTATGTCTTCCATCATTACCTTCTATATTTGATGATGAAGCTTTGTTTGAAGATAATGGGGCTGACTATGATGGAGCTATGTTTGAAGATGATGGGGCTAATTATGACGTAGCAGTGCTTGAAGATGATGGAGCTGAGTTTGCAATAGATGGCTATGATGGAGCTGAGTTTGAAGATGGTGGAAAGGATTGGAGTGCAGTTGATGATGGGGCTGACTTTGGAGATGATATATTCGACGGTGAGGCATTGGTTGAGGACAAAATGAATGAAATTATAAATGAAGACACCGATGAGGGTAAAATTGAATTGACACATGGAATGCAGTTTGGTGATGTTTACAAATTTCGAGATGCATTGAAGGAGTGGTCTATTTCTCGTGGATATGAATATACATGTGTGAAAAATGAAAGAAGCAGAGTAAGAGCAATTTGTAAGGTTTCCAAAGAGTGTCCATTCTTAGTACATGCTTCGGTGGTTGGTGGAGAGAACACTTTTCAAATTAAAACATGGAACGCCATCCACACATGTCCTAGACAAGCTACAAATAGCCCCATTACTTCCAAGTACTTATCAAAAAAATTATTGGAGGATTTCAGATCAAACCCGAAGGAAGAAATGAGTGGATTGCGAAATAGAGTAAGTAAAAATGTTGGATATATGTAGGGATTCAACGACTGTACCGAGCAAGGAAGAAAGCAAAGAAGACCATATTTGGGGATCATGCTCGGCAATTTGAAGTTAGTCGTGCATATTCTGAAATTATTCTAAGTACAAATCCGGGAAGTTTCGTTAAGCTACATACTGAACCACAACCTCCAGTGATGATTAATGGGTTTGTGAAAGAATTGCTCCCTAGATTTCAATGATTGTTTGTGAGTTTTCATACAATGATTGCCGGTTTCACGGCAGGTTGTAGGCCATTAATTGGTCTTGATGGTTGTTTTTTGAAGACACATTTTGGAGGGCATCTTTTAAGTGCTATAGCACACGATGGAAATAATGGCATGTTCCCGATTGCGATAGCTGTCGTTGAAGCTGAAAATAAGGATAGTTGGTTCTTGACTTCACTTTTGAATGCATTAGATGGCATTTATCCAGCGAACTTAGTCTTTATGTCGAATATGCAAAAGGTTATTTTAAGGTTATTTTTGCTATTTTATTTACTATTTCTGTTGTTTTCTTTTTTTGCTATTTTATTTTAAAGTTGATTTTTTTTTATAGGGACTACTTCAATCACTTGCTGACCTTCTTCCTCACACCGAGCATAGGTATTGTCTAAACCACTTACTTGACAATTATAAGAAGCAATTCAAGGGAAAATTATACACTGACTTATTATGGCAAGCTGCATATGCAACAACTGAAAATGGTTTTGAGATTGCTATGAAGAAACTGCATAATGTTGATGATGGGAAAGCTCATGATTATTTGAAGCGTCTAAACCCAAACAAATGGTCTCGGTCTCATTTTAGTTTCAAGGCAAAAAGTGATTTATTGGTTAACAGCATTAGTGAATCTTTCAATTCACGCATTGTACTAGCAAGGGAATTGCCTATAATTTCAATGATTGATTGGATTCGGAAGAAGCTAATGAAAAGTTTGTATGATAGAAAGACTAAGATGGAGCAATACATTGGTCCAATTACACCAAAAATCCAAGAAAGGCTTGAAAAACTAAAAACAATGTCAAGAGATTGTGTTGTCAGTCCTTCTTCACAAAATGTTGTTGAAGTTACATGCCGTGGGAAGTCATTCTCCACTGATATTGAAAAAAAAATGTTGTAGCTATAGAGTTTGGGGGTTAACAGGAATACCTTGCATCCATGGTATTGTAGCAATCAGATATTGGAGAAGGGTGCCTGAAGACTTTGTTGATATTTGCTTCACAACAGAAACATATATGAAGGTATATTCAACTCCTATTAAACCATTTCCTGACCTTCATGAATATCTTGCCAAGAGTGAATCGACTGTTGCGGCACCTGTTATAAAAAGGTCACCTGGTAGACCTTAAGATTTTGAGGCGAAGACAAGCTGATGAGCCTAGAAACCCACACAAGAATACAAGAATAAACAAACCTATCAGATGTGGAATACAAGAATACAAGAACACCAAGCCAAAAGATGGCTCGATGTCAAAATGAGCAACCACAATCAATATCTCAACCTTCTACGAATAGGCAAAAGGTAATGACTTTTTCCTATTTTATTATAATTTGTTATTTATGTGTTCTTAATTGAATGGTCTCTTGGATTGATAGATGGCTACAAGAGGAGGAAAACATATCAGTCCCCTTAGCACCTGATGAAGATTCATTGATTTGAAGATTGTGGTTGTTGTCTAGTTTTTTTTTTTTAGGTTAATATGCTCGAAAGGAGATTTTTTGATGCTGCTTGCTGTCCATATTTTTTTTGAAGCTGCAGTATTGTATTGTGGATATTTCCAAGCAGTATAGTAGTTTAAGAGAATGTGAATGTGTATTACATCTATATGGAGATTTTTTTGAAGAGACTTGATGCAGAACAACATGCTCTACCATTTCAGAATGTATATTTTCATGCTCTGGAGATTCAATTGTTATTAAAAATGTTATCCTTTTGTGGTTTTGGACATTAGAAATCATGTCAACATGCTCTACCTTCTATCTTGTGGTGCCATTTATTATCCAAATTTACTCTTACAAGAACTGTACGTGAGTTGTTGATAGATTATGGACTACAACAATTTCACGTTAAATATCATGTCAACTGTCTTGTTTTTTTTTGTATTCACTATTAAGCGTTTCAATAGCAACAACGAATGCAAAACCAATGACTTTGCGCACGCAGAAAACGCTCACGTTGAGTGTTTTTTTATTATAAGGGTACTTGTCGTATTTTTTAAAAAAGTTAACAGAGTTAACTTTAGTTTTGGATGGAAAATGAAAATAGGGGGGTAAGTGATAAAAAAATTTAGATGAGGATGTAAATGATTAATTTTTTTGGAGAAGGGGTTAAGTGATTACGAGCAAACTTAACAGGGGGTAATTGAAGTTTTCCCTTTTTTTTATAAGGGTCATGGGTCACCGACTCACCATGAAACGATCAACTAATAAGGGTATGCTCAAAGCTTTGCCGCTATGCCGTCCATGAATAGATATAAATTCAAGGTTTTATTATAGGATAGGTTATATTTATTATTATTAAGTATCTAATGATTATAATTTATTAATAATTAATTAATAAGTGTGATTCAATAAATTATAATTATTAGATTGACAGAAATTAATAGTTAAGATTCGGTAGGAAAAATACAGTACGTATAATCTTTCCCATTTACGATAGGGAAAATATTTCTAATGCAAAAAGTATTTATCTGTCACATTCGCATAAAAATAAGTGAATTTTATTATAAAAAAAAATTAATGAAACTCATCTATATAAGTAGGGAATAACATCTATCCTTTTAAAGGATATAAACTTATATCCTTTTAGATCCTAACCGTTGATTTCTGTCCATCAACGATTATAATTTATTGGATTAAAATTAATAATAAATTTGGCCCATTAAGTTTAACCCAATAGATTATAACTGTTGATAGACGGAAATTAACGGTTAAAATCTAAAAGGATATAAACTTATATCCTTTAAAAGGATAGATGTTTTCCCCATATAAGTATTGGCTGTAAAAAATTTGGCAGAAAAATTGAACCCCTTTACTATACCACAACTATCAAAACACGACTTTTTTACCCTTTTGCCCTTCATTAATTATTTAATAACTATTTTGCCCCTTATTCAGAACTATTTACCAATATATCCCTCTTTAATCGATTAAATTGAATATTTAATCGATTAAATCTTCATTTGACCATTTAATCGATTAAAGCTTCCTCTTTATCAGAAGAACAACCTTATGCATGGGAGATTTAATCGATTAAATAGGGAGATTTAATCGACTAAATCTTCAAGTCAATGATTTTTGCCTATTTTGACCATTTAATCGATTAAATTTTTGGCTTAATCGATTAAAGATGAACAGATTGATAGATAGTTCTAAATAAGGGGCAAAATGGTTATTAAATAATTAATGAGGGGCAAAAGGGTGAAAAAGCCATCAAAACACTCCACTTTTATAATTCATTCGCGGACAGTCATCTAATCTAAATTTTATTTTATTTTTTCACTTTTGTCATCTCAGTTAGGGGTGTAAATGGGCTGGGCTGGGCTTTGGCCTTCATGGCCCAAGCCTACGTAAAAAAAAAATTCAGCCTATCTGGCCTATCAAAGGCTTTATTTGTAGACCAAGCCCAGCCTATTTTTAAAAATAAGAAAGCTCGACATGGCCTACAGGCCTTGTAGGCCTACCACTGTAGATACTAATCAAAGAAAATAATTGTATAGAGCAAAGAAAGTTTCATTCATGAATGCACTAGTACTTCTCATAAGAAAAAAATAACAAACAAGAAAGAGTCAACATAATACCCCAGCTTTAGAATGTATATCATAGAGGAATAGAGTCAAAGAAATGGAGAGAATAAGAAAAATACAATTATTAGGTGCCGAAATGAAGTCTACAAGAGAATGTCATTCATCTAAAAATTAGGGTTGGTATTGGTACTTTGCCATGCCACATAAAATAAATATTATTTTATTATTTTATTTTTAATAAATTAAATAGGTCAGCCTACAAGGCTTTGGGCTAGGCTTGACAAAATTGGCCTACGGCCTATTTGTTAAAAAAGCTTTCTTAAAAGCTTAAGCTTACTCTACTTTTCTAAAAGGCCGGACCAAGTCAGGCTTAATGTAGGCCGGGCTGTTGCTGTAGGCTGGGCTGGGCCAGCCTGGCCCATTTACGCCCCTAATCTCAGTCATATAAAATATATTGAATTGATATCACTATTTTATTATTAAAATAAAAAATTATTAAATTAATCAAATTAAATAATAATAATAATAATTCATATTTAGTTCTCAACCAAATCGTGCCCTTACACCTCCTTCTTGATTCTCAAAAAGTTACGTAAAATTAAATACTAAAATAAAAAATTATGGTCTTTTGTAGTTTTATGGTGACGAAACTGCCTACATACTATGTGAGGCAGACATAACATGAGTCCTGTCATGATAAATGACGTGTTTTACTGCATTAATTTGAAAAAACTTATCCGACTTTAATTGAAATATTTTTTTTCCCAAAATGATGTTTTTGCCAGGAATCCCCATGCCTTTTTCCGAACCAATGCAATCAAGGGTATTATTGTAATTTAAGTTAATGGGAGAAAAAGCCTGCCTCCATTACCCGCGGATTTCGAAGAAGACGAATTGCAGAAGCATAGAAAAAAGCAGAGTCCGTAAGAGTGTGTCGTGTTTGTTGAGTGTGAAATGTTGAGAACCTTCTCTGTGGGACTCAGATCTTCCAGAAAGATCCAAACTTCACTGTCTTCAGCTCCTTCCAAATGGTGGGCACCTTCTCCTTCTCCTTCTCCCTATTCGACGAACCAAGGGGACCCACAACCTGCGACCTCTCCGAAGCTGTTGGTGGTTCAACCTCGCCTTCGCCCCGAGAAGTTCTTGCAAGCCAAGCTCAACGAAGCTATGTGCCTCGCCAATTCCCTCGAAGAGCAACGTGATGGGTATTTTCACACTGATTTCTTCGACAAGGGGTTACCCCCACATCTCCTCGTTCAGAATCCATCCATCAAAGGCCACAAGCCTCGCGCAGGTTTCGTTTCTCTCTATCTTCAACGCTTTTTTTTCTTTCTTTTTTTCGATTTCTGTATGTGTGTGTGTGTGCCATTTCGTTTATGATGTGGTTTGTGTTTCGCAGACACCTATTTTGGGCCTGGAACAGTGGATAACATCAAATGCTATCTTAATGCAATTGAATCAAAGGCAAGAAAGAAAGAAAGAAAGAAAAAAAAAAAAACTTTGGTTGCTTTTTCATGTGATTGGTTATTTGGGTATTATTGATGTATTGGTTTCAATTTAGCATTTGTGTAGATTTTGATTGTGTAAGTGTGTAACTATAACAGGGTGATATGGATGCTGTTTTTGTTAATACTATACTATCTGGTATTCAGCAACGGAACCTTGAGGCAAGTTTTGCTTGTGTAATTTTTCTCCTCTCTTTTTTTTTGGAATGGTAAATTGATCTTTTGCCAGTGCTATGTCATTGCCAGAGGGCTTGGAATAAACCTGTGCTGGACCGTGTGGGCCTGATAATAGAGATATTTAATGCTCATGCCTTTACAAAGGAAGCAAAACTGCAGGTATAATCCATGGCTCCATGGAGCTATTGTTTCTCGAATCTCATTTTGCTTTGTAACTGTGAATAAGCTTTGCTATCTATGTAGGCTGAACTTGCAGCTCTATCATACAAGAAGACAAGACTTGTTCGTGTTCGTGGCCCAGGTGGTCGCTATACATTTGGTGCTTCTGGAGAAGCTGAAGTTGTCAGTGCCCGAGGGTTGGTTTATTTCCTTATTTTCTAGTGTTAGATACCATTTTTTAATTGGAAGGCGATTTTTTTTTTATGCAAACGTTAAGTGTTGAATGTTTTAAATTACAATCTTGGAAATTTAGGCTCAGACATAATTTTTTTACATATTTTGATAATTTCAACGTTGATTGTTGACAATAGTTCCAAAAATTGCATGAATCTCTTTGTGATTCCTTCATTGGGTCAGATGACAAGAATAACCAGGCACAAACTGATACAACACTAACTGATGAGGAGAACATAAAAGATGCAAGAGCTGGAGAAACAGAAGAAGAGAACCTTGGAGACATAAGAGAGCCAAGCATAGCAGAAAGGAAAGCAGTTAGAGAAAGAAGGAAGCCACTAAGATTTAGAGATACATTGTAAATAAAAGAAGTGTAACCGAAATAGCAAGGTGTTTAGTATAGGATGACGTGTAAGGGAAAGGGTAAATGTGTATTGATATAAATGAATTGCTTTGTACAGATGTCAGGTAACTGAAATAAGAATTGAATCATTTTTTCTCTCACCTCTGAGTCTTTTCTCTCTTCTCACCCCTTTCTTCGTTTCTTCCTTCATAGATAGAGATAACCTCTATCAATTGGTGCTTTCATCTACGAACTATGGCACCGGAAACACGTAACAGATCCATCGATGATCGTTTGGAAAACACACAAGCTGAAGTAGACATCTTGAAGGAGCAGATGAACAAGCGTTTTCAAGAATTAGCATGTAAATTGGATGCAATTTTTGACAATTACAGAGAACAACAACCACCACACGGTCCCGCGACAACTTCCCACTCTGCATGCTCGCGCGATCATGCGGAAGCCAGGAATTTGCGACTCAAGGTTTCAAGGTACGACGGATTAAGCGACCCACATGGTTGGACCTATAAAATCAATCAATTTTTTGATTTTTATGATATGGCTGAAGATCAGAGGTTGAAGATAGCGCCCTTTTATTTTGAGGGGAAAGCATTAGCTTGGTTTCAGTGGGTGCACAAGAACACGGTGATTGATTCGTGGTCTGGGTTTTCTAAAGCTTTACAGAGCAGATTTGGGCCGTCCGAAATGGAAGATTATCAAGGGAAATTGACGAAATTGGTTCAATCGGGAACGGTAATGGAGTATCAAGAGCAATTCGAGACAATTTCCGATCAAGTAGATGGATTGTCTGAATCCTTTCTTGTAAGTTGTTTTATTTCAGGATTGAAACCTGAAATTTTACATGATGTTTCCTCCTTTCGCCCAGCGTCCTTAACCCATGCCATGTCCTTAGCAAAAATCCAAGAGTCCAAAATCCAATTAAAGAACAACCCCCCAAAATTACACTCTTCTTATCCTCCATTGTTACCCACACCTCTTCATCCTTCCAAAACAACCCAGAATACAAACCCAACCAAGATTGCTTATCCAGTTAACACTACAAATACACTCAAACCCGATTGGAAACGGCTAACACAAAGCCAAATTCAGGAACGCAGAGACAAAAATTTATGTTTCACTTGCGGAGACAAGTATTTTTTTGGTCATAAATGTAAGGCTTCTGTTCATGTGTTGATTGTGCCTGATGAAGAGGAAGTCGAAGAATTCCATTCACTAGTTGATTCTTCCCTTTCTCCTCCTGGAAATGATGTGGATGAGTCTGTTACAACTATTCCTCAAATCAGTTTCCACGCGTTAGCAGGTGTGATTGTCCCTCAAACATTGCGATTTACAAGCTATATTGGTAAATCTGAGTTCTCATTGTTAGTGGATGGAGGGAGCACACATAATTTCATCCAACCCAAGCTGGTTTCTTCACTATCCTTACCTGTTACCAATGACAAACAGTTCGAAGTTATGGTGGGTAATGGGCAGACATTACATTGTCAAGGCTTCTGTCCTGCAGTTCCTGTCCAAATTCAGCACAATATTTTTTTGGTGGATTTCTATATCTTACCAGTTCAAGGAGCTGATATGGTCCTGGGAGTTCAGTGGCTGCAAGTACTTGGACCAGTTACCTTGGATTACAATAAGCTGACTATGGAGTTTCAATGGCATAAAGAAACTATCAAGCTTAAAGGAGAATCTCATACAGGTCCAATTTCTCTTAATCAATTTCGCAAGATACAGCAAACAAGACAAGTGGCATCCTTGTTTCATTTGAAGATGCTGGACACTATTTTTGATTCACCAACAGAGATTGCAATACCACAGGTACAACAACTCTTAGTAGAATTTGATGCACTTTTTCATGAACCTACAGACTTGCCTCCACATAGACAAATAGACTATGAAATTCACCTTGAACCCAACACACTGCCTGTAAATGTCAGACCGTATAGATATCCCCATTTTCAAAAAAATGAAATTGAAAAACAAGTTGCACAGATGCTTGAGTCTGGATTTATCAAACATAGCAATAGCCCTTTCTCATCTCCTGTCCTTTTAGTTAAAAAAAAAGATGGAACATGGAGATTTTGTATTGATTATAGGGCACTTAATAGCATTACCATCAAAGACAGATTCCCTATTCCCACTATTGATGAGTTAATGGATGAGTTAGGAGGCTCTCAGATTTTTTCCAAGTTAGATTTAAGGGCTGGTTATCACCAAATTCTCCTTAAGCCAGAAGATACACACAAAACAGCCTTTAGGACTCACCAAGGCCATTATGAGTTCTTGGTTATGCCTTTTGGGCTAACCAATGCTCCGTTTACATTTCAAGCCACAATGAACCACATACTTCAGCCCTATTTGCGCAAGTTTGTTGCTGTATTTTTTGATGATATACTTGTGTATAGTACTTCTATGGACTTGCACATACAGCATTTAAAACAGGTCTTACATACTTTGCAAATTCACCAATTTTTTATCAAAAAAAGCAAGTGTTCTTTTGCTCAAAAGGAGGTTGAATATTTGGGACATATTGTCTCTTCCAATGGAATGAGTATGGATCAGAATAAGATAAAGGCCATCCTTGATTGGCCAGCTCCCAAAAATGTCAAGCAGCTACGCGGTTTTCTTGGCCTCACAGGTTACTACAGAAAATTTGTTCAAGGATATGCAACCATTGCAGCTCCCTTAACAGACTTACTTAAACATGATGCTTTTAATTGGTCCCCAACTGCTCAAACAGCCTTAGAAAGTCTAAAGGCAGCCATGGTTAGTGCTCAAGTGTTAGCTTTGCCAGACTTTGATCAAGATTTCGTTGTTGAAACTGATGCATCCGACCTGGGTGTGGGTGCTGTCCTTCTTCAACAAGACCATCCGCTTGCTTATTTTAGCAAGAAATTGTCATTGAAAATGCAGAGAGCAGCAGCATATGTGAGAGAATTATATGCAATAACAGAGGCAGTGAAGAAATGGAGACAGTATTTGCTTAGCAGACGATTTCTCATTAGAACCGATCAAAAGAGTTTAAAAGCTCTCTTGGACCAAGTTATCCAAACTCCAGAGCAGCAGTATTACCTCACCAAACTCTTGGGATTCCAATATACAATAGTCTACAAACCAGGCAAGGAAAATCGTGCAGCTGATGCCTTATCAAGACAGCCTGATATCATGAGTTTCATGGCCCTTTCAGTACACCAATTTGATATTTTGGATGAATTACGGGAAGAGAATCTACATTCTGCATTTTTCCAGCAACACCATCAACTTTTAACAAACTCCAACAGTGCAGATCATGGCTTGGAAATCAGAGATGGATTAGTATTAAAAAAGGGAAATTGCTCCTTGATCCTCACTCACCTTTGATTGATAAGGTTATGAAGGAGTGCCATTCCACACTGACTGGTGGTCATTTCGGCATACAAAAGACAGTTGCTAGAGCTTCTACAAGCTTCCTCTGGCTCGGCATGCACAAGGATATTAAGAGGTATATTAACTCTTGTATAGTTTGTCAACAAGTTAAGGTTCCCACTCAGAAACCTGCAGGCCTTCTGCAACCAATTTCAATACCTGAGAGAGTGTGGGAAGACCTCTCCATGGACTTCATCATTGGCCTTCCTAACTCCTATGGGCACACAGCAATCTTGGTAGTGGTTGATAGACTTTCCAAGATGGCACACTTTGGAGCCTTGCCAAAAAAATTTAATGCTGTGAAAGTGGCCACTCTTTTTACAGATATGGTATGTAAACTCCATGGCATTCCAAAGTCTCTCATCTCAAATAGAGACCCCATATTCCTTAGTACATTTTGGATGGAATTGTTTGAGCTAAGTGGAACAAGTTTGAAAAGATCCACTGCATACCATCCACAATCGGATGGTCAATCCGAAGTAGTGAATCGAGTATTGGAACAGTTCTTGCGATGCTTTGTAGCTGAGTCTCCTAAGCACTAGTTCAGATTGATAGCTTGGGCAGAATTATGTTACAATACTGCATCTCATGCAGCAACTGGCATGTCCCCCTTCAAAATTGTATATGGTCGTGACCCTCCTGGAATACTAGACTACATTCCCACAACAGCCACAACACCTGAGGTGGACACATTATTGACTGATAGGCAACTGCTGCTACAACAGCTCAAGAGTAACTTACAAAAAGCCCAGCAGCTCATGAAACATCAAGCAGACAGCCATAGAAGGGATGTGCATTACAAACCTGGTACATTGGTGTGGGTTCGCCTTCATACCTATAGACAACAATCACTTGCTGCCCGTATTTCCAATAAACTTGGGTACAGGTACTTTGGACCCTATCCTATTGAGAAAAGAGTGGGAAAGGTTGCTTACAAACTCACCTTACCTGCCTCAGCCAAGATCCACCATACTTTCCATGTGTCACTCCTCAAACCGTTTCAAGGGGACCATGATATCTCTCCATTTCCCTTGCCAGAGTTATTTACTGGTGGTTTGCCTGTTATGCAGCCTAAACAAGTGTTAGCCTCTCGACAACATCAGGATGGTACAATTGAAGCTTTGATATTATGGGAGGGAATGCCTGCTGAACAGACTTCATGGGAAGGTGTAGCAGAACTCCAACAGCAGTTTCCTAACTTCAACCTTGAGGACAAGGTTGTTTTCAATGGTGGGAGTATTGATACAACACTAACTGATGAGGAGAACATAAAAGATGCAAGAGCTGGAGAAACAGAAGAAGAGAACCTTGGAGACATAAGAGAGCCAAGCATAGCAGAAAGGAAAGCAGTTAGAGAAAGAAGGAAGCCACTAAGATTTAGAGATACATTGTAAATAAAAGAAGCGTAACCGAAATAGCAAGGTGTTTAGTATAGGATGACGTGTAAGGGAAAGGGTAAATGTGTATTGATATAAATGAATTGCTTTGTACAGATGTCAGGTAACTGAAATAAGAATTGAATCATTTTTTCTCTCACCTCTGAGTCTTTTCTCTCTTCTCACCCCTTTCTTCGTTTCTTCCTTCATAGATAGAGATAACCTCTATCACAAACATAGTAAATGTCTAATTTGTATGGCCAAACTACTTTCTTAGATAAATCGTCCACGGGAAGCTATGACTTTTTGCTAGCACCATATTGTTTGCTTCACCAAATGTTACTTGACATACCTATTTAATTTTCAGCTTACATTGTTATGAAGTACGAACATGGTTGAAACTGAATATAGTTTTTATCACTTTTCCTCACCCTCTCTTTCTCTCATGCATGCATGTCTAATTCTGTGAATCTGTGTTTCCTCTGGCCTAATCTATTGGAGTAGTAAATTGTTCATTATAGTAACCGCATCTAAACTCTATACTTGTCAATTTCAGGAGAGGAAGTGGGGGCCAAGGGTTTATGAGTGGTGCTGGAGAAACTGAACTTCAGCTTCAGCGACGAAGGTATAATTTTGATACTAAATTTTTAAGATACATACATTTATTCTCAAGTGATCCATTTTTACTTTCCCTAGCATATCTTACGGTTTCCTTTTAAACATATGCTGTTTTCAAAGCTGTTTTTTTTTTCTTTTACTTTCTCATTTCATCAAGTCATTGCGAATTTTCACTGTAATTGTGCTTGACACAATAGTACTTGGAAGGAGGGGGGAATGTTCTGGAAAATTGATGTTTTAGGTTATGTAACTTTAATCTGCGCTGAACTAAAGTTCAATCCCACTGAGCATAGGTTCTTACTGAGTGCCATTAGAAATATCAGTCTCATGCTTGTATTATTATAAGTTTTGTTGTGCTTTCAAACTACAATGCATACAGCCTTATTTGAGATTATCCTGTTCTTGGCATTCATAATGTAGTCTTGCTGGAGATTTTTCTCCAGTCTATGAAATAGGATCTACTCATCTATGTTGCACCGACACCGACACGGGACACGGGATACGACACGACACTTCGACACGTTAATTCTAAAAAATGTTAAATTTCGATATGTTAGGACACGTTTTGATGTTATATAATATTTTTAATTTATGTAGTGTATATTATATTTAGTATTCAATAATTTAATAAAAAAATAAAGCTGAACTTATAATACTCATCAATTTTGCAAAGAAACATAATATATCTCAAATGCTTATATTAAACTCAATAAAATCGTAATCGTAATCTAACGAATCTAATAGTTGGAACTCAAAATGCAACGCAACGTAACCTTTGAACCTTTTTTGAGGCTTTGCAAAAAGTATTGGAGTGTCAGAAAGTGTCGGAGTGTCGGGAAGTGTCAGACACGACACGTCAGGATTTTTGAAGTGTTGGTGCTTCATAGCTACTCATTGATGTGCAATTATAGCAGTTTTTACAATTATTTCTTATTACACATAATCTGGTCACTGAATTGTGAAAAGTTCTTAGAATCTTAGATAGGAGAAATTATTTATTATCACAAATTGAAGAGGTTCGCCGTACCCGGGCTTTGCAACGTGCTGGTCGTAAAAGACATGGAGGTTCATTTGGACAAGGCTTAGCCACTGTTGCTGTTGTTGGGTATACGAATGCTGTAAGTGGTCTAAGTATATATGTGTTTTATATTTATTGTGATTAGAAGCATCACTAATATGCCTTTCTACATGTTTTTATTAGGGAAAATCTACACTAGTTAGTAAGCTATCGGACAGCGATCTGTATAGTGATTGTCGGTAAAAGCACATATACTTTTACCTATATACATTTACATCCTCGAATTCTAATATATTGATTTTTTATTGTTAGCTTTTCACTTTTAATACTTCATGGTGTTGCATTGCAGACTGTTTGCAACAGTCGATCCTAGATTAAGAAGCACTTTTCTTCCTTCAGGGTAATTTGATCTGTAACTTACCAATTTATTTTAATCTCTATTGCAGTTCTCTCTATTTTGTACATAGGTTGATAGCATTGAGTGTATATGCTTCGCTGTTCTAATTTTATTTATAGGAGGAAAGTGCTTTTAAGCGACACAGTAGGATTTATATCTGATTTGCCAGTACAGGTAATGACAAAGCATGAGCACATTCCATGTCAGCATGTCTGTATTGATTGATTCTTGTCAATATTACTCTTCAACAATGACCCAATCTGCCTTTTTCTCTTTTAATTTTTGAAGCTGGTAGAAGCATTTCATGCAACTTTAGAAGAAGTGGTGGAAGCAGACCTGCTTGTGGTATGATTTTGCATCTCCTTTCAGTTGCTAACTTGCTGAAGAACATAAATGATTTTTTAGTATGATTTTGCCTCTCTCATTCTAATTCTTATGCCAGTTTCAAAAACTAACAAATGCCTGCTCTTTCCCCTTAACAAAAAAGGAGAGAAAAAGAAAAAGGAAGCATCAACATAAGGGGTGATCATAAAGATGATCTTGCAATGAAGCTTTCCATATTAAGGCTTTCTTTTGCTTCAAATATCCTTGATGTATGGAAGATTAATGCCTGTAATACAGAGGGCATGTGCCTTCTTACATCTGGTCTCCCTTCATCACACACTTGTTCTTAACTTCTTACGGCTGTTACATTTTATACAGTATGAATAATTAGTATGCACATTAGACTCATTTCTGGCATTTCATAGTTACTTTTGCTCAAAAACTTATAAAAGGTTATCCACCTGGAATTTGGTCTTTTGTGGCATAAGACAACTCACCTGACAAGTCTATCTTTCCTTGAAGCATGTGGTGGATTCAAGTGCTCCCAATCTTGATGAGCATCGCTCAACAGTGTTGCAAGTTCTTCAACAAATTGGGGTGTCAGAAGAGAAGCTTCAGAATATGATTGAAGTTTGGAATAAGGTAATACAAGTATTAAACTCATCTGCCTTGTACCAAAATGCAAGAAAAACAGTTGACTATATATACATCCGTCCACTCAATCTCTGAAAATGTTTAGATTGATGTTGAAGAAGAGTGCGTGGAAGTTGATGAATATCTTGACGAAGATGAAGAGGATGATGAAACTAGCAACTTCAATGGAGAGGATGATGTGAAATCTGAGACATTAGCGGAAACAGAGAAAGATTATGCTGGCATCATGTCTGGTGCAGATAATGAACTCATCAAGGAGGTCGACAATCATAATGGCAACTATGACTGCAAGCAGTCACTGGGTGACTTTGAGGCCATCGAAGAAATAGAAGTAGAAGATTATTCTGATGGTTGGTTGTATGAGGATACCTTGGTTAATGAAAGTGATTTTTGTTTGCCTTCAGCGGTGGCAGACCAACAAAATGTGTCCTCTAAAAAGGACAATGATGTGCAAAAAGATAGCTCAATGGGACAGTCTGGTCCACATGTGAAAGCATCTGCTATAATGGGAATAGGGTTGCAAGAGTTGCTGGAACTAATAGATAAGAAACTAAGCGTACAGGATGAGAAGTCAAAGGGTGCACAAGTGGTCGAAAGAAGTACCTTTGATCGAAAATGGAGGCCCTCTCATACTCAGGATTCTAGCATAGCAGTTGAACAGTAGCTTTCTTTCCCAGGGAGTTTGTCTCTCTGCTTTCTCCTCCACTTTGCTGGACCTGTTGTGTGCTCATGGGGCAAAACTTGGCCTCTTCAATTCAGATGAAGTGTCTCAAAGCTGCTCATGTTTATGTGGCCTTCATTTTCTGTCTCAACCTGCAAGTTATGAGCTTTCCATGGAGCATAATTTTAGTTTTCCTTCATAATAGTGTGTTGCATTGCTTAGACATTTTCTGCTTAATGGGTTCATCAGTAACGAGAGTAAAAATTGCAGAATGCAGTGATATATAAATAACACTACGGAAATCCATTTTTAAAATAGTAGATTTATTTGATTCAGGGTCAATTGAATTGTAGCAATTGCAGAGATTTTTATGTAAACTATAAACAATCTTAATATCATTCACATTTCACCGTTTAATTAGCTCAATATGATCATGTGCTTAAAGCATTTGTTAATGCAGGGAACCAATTAATACATCAAGTGGTTGTGTTAAATACCCTTCGTATGTCTTGTATATTGCATGTCATATATCATATTATGAGAATTTGTTATGAATTTGCTCCTTGTTTATAATAAATATGGACCAAACTTAACGATTCACTAATTCAGAAGAATATTTACATGAATGAAAGATTGACATTAAGCACCTTTAAAAAAGGAAAGATAAATATTAAAAAGCCTTTGAATGACAGACAAATTAAAAGAGATAAAACTTCCGTTGCCGGGAATCGAACCCGGGTCTCCTGGGTGAAAGCCAGATATCCTAACCGCTGGACGACAACGGAGCAGTTTGCTAGAGGCTGCTTGTTAAATAATTAGTATTATAAACCAACAAAGTTTTAATGCACGTAAAACTACATTATAACGAAGGGATTACAAAGAAAGGGAAGATTGTACTAACCATATATTGTTTGAAACTTTGACCCACATTTCTTAAAGAGGTTTTTAATCATACCAAACATTTTTGGCAGCGAAAGTCAAGCTTTTTGAATATTGTGCCCTTTAATTAATAACAAATTATCACTTTGCCTTCTTTTCAAAACATATCACTCATTTGTCCTAATTTGTTCGTTGACCCCGTGAAATACCCGAGTATATTTCGAAAAAAAGCACAACTCCAGCACATAGATGGAATACTTGGGTATTTTATCATATTCTAGGTTTTGCTTTGAATTATTTACCCATGTATGGAGGGGGATACCCGAGTACTGGGTTTTAAAAAAACCCTCTCCTCCCTCATTTTTTCCCTACCCTACCTGAGTATACCATCAAATAGGAGAAACCCTAACCCATCTTCCTTTCAATTTCGTCCATTTTTTCGGCAAATTCCATCGGTTGTTTCACCCTTCTCAATGTCACGAACAAAATCCCTCTCATTTTGGACTGTCCCATCCACGATTTGGGCAGTTTACCCGCGCGATTTGGAGGCTGACTGGGACTTGATTCTTGTGCAATTTTGGCTTGGATTTGTGTGGGTTCTTTGCTTACTCCTTATCATCCTTAGCTTTTTCCATTCAATTTGGCCTTTCCTTTAAATTGATGATGTTTTGATTTGTGAATTTCTAACCTGCGTTTTTTGCCCATTGTGGCACTGATTTTTTGTTTTATTTCTTGTGTTTTGGTTTGTTGATATAGGCTTTATATTATTTCAGTTTTGACAATTTAAAAAATGGCTGACAAACGTGCATTAAAGAGACCATTGACCCGGGGGAAAAAGGTCGAAACGCAGACATGACGGGTCTTCGTTATCTAGGGCAAAGCCAGTTGTTGAGGAGGCTTTTGACATGCCATTTGGCTATTTGTTTAAGAATGACATCATAGCACATGAACGGTTTGTGAAGTCCTTCATGAGTCGCGTCATATGTGAGCCGAAATCACTGGATTTAGCATTCTTCAAGAAGGAGGGGTTCGACATTGTCATACCGCTTAAAGAGACACATCTCCACGTGCTTGTAGAGATGAAGTGATAGTATTCAGAGGTTATGGTGAGGGGTTCTACCAGAACCTCCACTACTTACGAGGCGAGCTGACTTCTCGCGTTTGCGAAATTGTTGTTGTGATGACTACACCTATATGGACGGAGCTCCTAGGCTTTGATTTTGATGTTGATGCAGACGCGGCCATGTATGATGGAGACTCACATCATATTTTTGATGGTTTTGATCGGGAGGTGATAATTTCGGAGACCCGGAGGCCTTATGCAGAGCTTGGTCAGTTTGCTCAGTATCCTATGAGCAATCTCTCGGTGCCTGCCCGCATTTTACATTATGTCGTGACACACATTATTTTCCAACGCCCGCATAATCACTTGAAGGTGCTGGAGGGTGATTTTGTTGTTCTGTGGGCCCTCCTTCATCGGATTAAGGTGAATTGGAGGCATTATATATGCATTCTGATGCATAAGGCTGAAAAATTCATAAAGGGTGACTTACCCTATGCATACTTGGTGCAGAAGATATTGCACAGGTGTGGTGTGCCTATGCATACTGAGACCTTGAAGAATCACATGCACTAGAATGCCACGTATGTTGAAAGGATGTGGGATTGTGCGGAGGCCCGGGGGTGTGTGGCACTGGAAGACTGCACTTGTGGCACCTGAAGTCCACCTTCACCATGATGATGAGATGGAGGATGCACTTGCACATGATGATGATGATGTCTAATATTTAATCTGTACATTTGATCTAACCAAATTTTAATATTTAATATTGTTGTTCCACTTACAGGTGATGATGATGATGTTCCTACTCCCGGTGATACTATTGCACCTTCACGTCCCCATCCCCTTCCAGCCACCACCACCTCCTCTAGCTCCTGAACGTGGATGGACAATTGCTCATGTCATGGAATCCATACATAACTTGACATGGGGCCTTGAGACCTTAACCAATGAGTTTAAGGACTTTAGACAAAGCACGGGAAAGTGGCGGACACAGATGGACACAAGGGTGGGACGCTTGGAGGCAGGGTACAAACAGGGTTCACACAACGTGGAGGAGCCTACTGTTGTTGTTGAGTCTGCTGATGAGGAGGAAGAGGATGAAGAGGAGGAGGAGATGCAGTCAGATACTAGCCAATGGTTTATTTGGAGCTTCATGTATGTAGGGCCTATTTTGTACTTGGAAGTGTATTCCACAAGTCCTTCTTATTAATGAAATGACTTTTGGTATATGTTTAACAAAATTTAGCGTTTATATTTTAGCATCATTGACATTTTGCCACTTAGGGTTGATCTGAATGACAATTGTCTAATTTAGAGTGCGCAAACCTCATCCCCAAGTCCAAATGGGTTAGACTATGTCAATTTGTCAAGTTTATGTCATTGTTTGACCTAAATGACAACTTGGTATGTTGAAACCAATTACCTAATTACTGTTACACACTCTGGCCTCTCCGTATCCCCTAGGAACCCAATTATCCCCTCCCCAAGTCATAATCTATAAGTACATGGTTATACTCAGTCTCCTGGAACCCAAAATTTCGTGGAACAGAAGCTGGGTTGGCATTATAAGCTGGTATACCCGAGTAACCTAAACTGGTATACCCGGGTAGGTTGTATCCTCTCTTGTATAAGAACTAGTTTTAATTATGGATCTTTCTTTAACATACCTATAAAAAACAAAGCAAGTTCAAGATATTGTCAATAAACATTTTTCACTAAATAAATAACATAAACAAAACATATGTAATAGCACATCATACAAAACATACTCATAATGACTGCACATATAACCTCTGAATCCAGTTGTCTATGATCCCGGGCAAAACCCTAGTTCAGGCAAGTGTGATCTTGACCCCACTTACAGACCACCCAATTATTTCCATTCTTGGGCTTAATTTCCCTTATATACCAGGAATAACTGTCAGCATGGTTATGGCACTTTATCACAAATATATGCTCGTCACTTTTTCGACTATGGTTGTCCTGCGTCCTTCATACAATGTAATTTAACGGCATCTTGCATTTCAGATTTTGAACCAAACTCCTATTGCACATATAACGAATCCCCTAATTTTCAACCATTGTGCAAGTCATCGTCTCCATACAACATCTCCAACTCGTCAGTAGGGTGCGCCCAATTAATGAAGGAATAATGTTAGCTTTCATTCCAAAATAGCTCTATTCCAGGCCCTACATCTAAAGCATGATTTTTTTTTTGTTAGAAGCAATTACAACACAAATATGAAATGTTTAATAAAATTGAAATTTAATAACTTACCACTACTAACTGGGTCAACATGGAGTGGTGATATGGCCAGGGAACTCAAGATTATCGCATTCGTGTCATCGTCAAAATGACCCTCCACATCAGTATCTGATGCGTCACCTAGTAGAATAACACGTTCAGGTTCTCCCTCCTCACCGCTGTCCACATCCTCATCTCTCACCCCCAATGTTAACTGACTTAACATCTAAGCAGGTGCTGATAAACCGAAAACTATATCTTCTTGACCAAAACATTGTGGAGTGCTTGTATGCATTGGTAAAGATGAAGACTGACCAGAATCAACTTCAACATATATCTCAATAAATTTTAATACTTTAGAGTCAACAAATGCATCTGTGATAAACTCCACATCTTCATTGTCATTGATATCGTTGCCAATATATTGTATCCTTATCAACTAGAGTCTCTAACCTGGCTATCATGTGATGAATGCATTGGTTGCCTTGTAACCCCAATTTTTGATAAATTCTCCCCTTGAGTTCATTGTATGTAGTGCCCACTTTGATTTTCATTGTTTTTTTTTCTTCAAATCGGACACCATTGGGACCTTCAAATTGCCACCCATTGTGGTAGATAACTACAAGATAAGTGTTTGAACTTGAGCTCATGTTTCACACGAAGTTGGGTCTAGGGTTTGGGTTTGGTTCGCTTTTTTGAGAAAAAAATGGAATATGAAGGTGTAATGCAAATGATTTCATAAGATAAAGCCTTTTGAGATAGTGGGATGAAATATAATCTTGATGGCTTAGAGTAGAGATGAGAAACGAGAGAGATTTAGGTGTAAAAAATGGGATAAATGACAAATGAGGTCAAAATACATTGATATTGGGATTTTTGGCAGACGAATACCCGAGTATCTGGGTATGGTACCCTAGTATTTAACTGAAATACTTGAGTATCTGGGTCACTACTTGGGTATAAACTTATGGCACGTATGAACACCTTCAATCCGCGAAATATACTGAGGTATCTATGTGGTCAACAGTCAAATGTGGGTAGATTGGTGTTATGTTTGGGGAAAATGTCAAATTTTTTAAATAGTTTATAAATGAGGGTAAGATGATAATTTTTAATTAATTAAGGGACACAATGATAAAAAAACCACTAAAGTCGAGATAATTCATTAACTCAAGCACCCGGTCACATAGCTTGATCTTGAGTATAGGTGTTGGGGAG